CCAAGTCGAGCCGCATGCACGTCCGCCGACTCGCGGATTAGACGCAGAATGCAGACAGGACAGCGAGCGCTGCACAGAGACAGCCCAAGCACCTAGCATGGGCCATGTTTGGTCCTCCCGGGTGAGTCGCAACCGATGACGGTGACCGACCGTCCGGCCGACTCCAAAGTCGTCGCCCTCGTCACGCCCTCCTCGGCACAGTCTTCCCCAAGCGCGCCGCAGACATTGCTAGTAAAGCACTGATGAACAGGCTTACGGGTTCGTGTGCGCTCACTCTTGGGTCATGTAAGCCGCACCCAAGCCGCGAAGCGTAGAAGGCCTGTGGAAACGTGTTCAGTGCGGAGAATGGCTGTACATGAGCTCTGACTTTCTATCACTGGCCTGCTCAGATCTGACTTACCAAGACGGCCTACTCTTATCGAGGGAGTCTGGGACACCTCTATCCCGTGAGGGTTCTGTGTTCCGGAAAGAGAGAGGGTGAGGTGACATGCTGAGGGGAGGAAAGGACCTTGCGCCATTTCTTTCCCCGGGCGGCGGGGCGGTGTTGACCAACCTCAGTATCCAAGCAGCACTGGGGCGCCGGGCTCTCAAGCTTACAGGATTGTCCTGGCGCGGGGGTGGTCACCGCATGCGGTTGCCTTGGAGCTACTCGACCAGCTGCTTATTCCGCATTCTTCCCCACCAACGACTGCAAACGTCAAACGAAGCACTCTAGCTTCCACCCCTTAGACAACAACCAACACCATATTCACCTCGAAAGTACTCAGAATGGCATCCAAGGGCCTCGGCAACGTCGTCGAGCTCCAGCGCCCCTGGCAGGGCGTCGGCCCCTTCATCTTTGGCTCGCACCATGTCGATGCCTACCCCGCTGCCGCGAAGGGCACCCTCGGCCCGCCCGCTGCGGACCTGAAGGGCCGCAACATTGGCATGGACATGCGCAACGCCTCCGGCACCGGATGGAACATGTACCACGGCGAGAAGATCCCCGGCTTCCCGGCTCACCCCCACACCGGTTTCGAGACTGTCTCTATTGTGAGTTTGATCTGGCTTTCGACAGGATTGTAAGAACAAAACGCTGACATCACAGGTAGGATCTGGTACCGTCGACCACGCCGACTCGCTCGGCGCCGGTGCGCGCTACGGCAAGGGCGACGTGCAGTGGGTCACGACTGGCCGCGGCGTCGTGCACTCCGAGATGTTCCCGCTGCTGAGGGACGACGCCCCGAACCCGTTCGAGATGTACCAGCTGTGGCTGAACCTGCCTGCTGCGAAGAAGAAGGTCCCCGCCGAGTTCACGATGCAGTGGGACGAGAAGATCCCCATCGTGCGCCGCGAGACGGGCCAGGGCTGTGCCTCTGTGCGCGTCATTGCGGGCTCGTTTGACGGCGTCGACCCGCTCCCGCCCCCCAAGAACTCGTACGCGGCCGACAAGGAGGGCGACGTCGCGATCTGGCTCATCGAGATGGAGCCCCGGTCGGCGATCAAGCTCCCGGCCATGAACACGGACAAGACGGAGCGCATGCTCTACGTGCACAAGGGCGGCGCGGCGTCCATCGACGGCCAGACTGTCACCGACGGCAACGGCTTCAAGCAGACCAAGAACGACCGCCTCACCATCACCAACGGCCCCAAGCACACCACCATTCTCGTCCTCCAGGGCGTCCCCATCAACGAGCCCTACGTCCAGCGCGGCCCTTTCGTCACCAACTCGGAGCAGGAGCTCAACCAGGCTTTCGCCGAGTACCAGCGCACGCAGTTCGGTGGATGGCCTTGGGACTCGGACCAGCCCGTGTATCCCCGCGACGAGCCCCGCTTCGCCATCCACGGCAAGGGCCAGCAGAAGGAGTACCCCACCGACAAGTGACTCGGTCACGCCAAAAGCAAACTCTAGGTACATAGGACAGTGTCTTTTTAGCAACAATCTATAGTGTATGCAGTAGAATCTTAAGTCAAATGTCAAGCAGCAGAGCAGAACAAGCGACATCTAGAAGTGCCTCAGACACGAAGGCAACAAAAGAAGCAGACAGGCCCGGGCTCATAGAGGTTGTCAGCGCAGAAGCGTCGGCTTTCGCTGCGAACAGTCTTGGTTAACGTGACGACGTAAGGTGCATGTCTAGATGTCTAAGGATTATGTTGTAATGTGACACAAACAAAACGACTGGGAGGCGGGATGGCAACAGCGCTTCCCAGTAGTACCAGTCTAATCATGTCAGCGGTGCGTGAGACGCATGCTAGCTGAACGCGCATTGCTGGCCAGGACGAAGCTGCCCTTCATATAGTCAAAGCTCGCGCACGTCAGAGTGAGCATGGTATAGCGAAAGATTGCGCTGCCAGCCGGGCATTCACAGGAACGCTGAGTCTGTCAGCTACCAGCGCGCTCACGGCAGCTGGACTCACCCTGTTTAAGCAAGAGCCGACCTCTGCGCCGCCGGCTCCTCGAGACGGGGCAGCTGGGGCAGCTGGGGCAGCTGAGCACCCGGAGCAGTAATGACGCCCGAGTCCCAAACATCGCGCACGGCGCGGGCCGCAGGGTCGTTTCGGCCGCTGTTAACGTCAGCTCACCTTGCTCCCCCGCACCTCGTCTCCTCCAGCTCAGAGGACGACGATGAAAGTTACGCCTGCCGAGCAATCGACAGACTGTCGCACGTCGCTCGGCTCACCTCAGGAGATTCTCGAGCGCGGCCCGCATGACCGGACCCGCCACGCGGTCCATACGGAAGATGTCGAGCTCATCTGCACGCGACGGGCCCTGTGAGATGAGCAGAACAGGCTTGCCCGCTTCGTATGCTCGCTTGATGAGGCGGAAGGCGGAGTATGTCGCGAGTGTCGAGCCGAGAACGAGGAGACGCGATGCAGCGTCAATGAGTTGGAAGCTGCTGTCAGTTCCAGTGACCACCATCACAACTCAAGCTGGTGAGGGTACAAATACTCACGATTCCTCCTTGACGTAGGACGGGAGCGTCTCGCCGAAGAAGATGACGTTCGGCTTGACGACGCCCTCCTGCCCGACAGCGGCGCACTGAGAGCACGGCGGCACCACAAAGCTCGCATAGTCGGCTCCGGGGAGCTCAACATCTCCGTCCGGGTTCGTGCGGGGCATTCTGATGTCAGCTGCAATGAAGGGCGTACTCCAGCTTTACCTTCCTTCGGCCACCATGTCTCGCGCCTCCTGGTCCCAAATCGGATTCAGATCTCCGAGCATCTTTTGCCACTCGTCTCGTGTGCCCTCATGGCCGTTCTGCAGACAGTGTACCTTCGCGAGCGTGCCGTGCAGCTCGAGAATCCTCGAGGCCGACGCACGTGCGCCGTGTTCACCGAAGACGGCCTGTAGTCGCAACAGCGCCTTGCGGTGAAGATTGTCAACGTTCTGCGTCAGCAGCCCGTGGCTCAGCCCCAGCGCCTGAAGCGAGGCAAGGTAGATGTGCAGCGGATTCGGCTGAGCAGCTTTGACAGGAGGATAGCCAAGGAAAGAGCGGGCCCAGTCTGGAGTCAGCTCGTGGGAGAGGTCGAAAGAGCTAGTAGCAACCCCACTCACATCGTTTCCGGAACAGTTCGCCGCGTGGTGAGTCCTCGACAAGCTCGCCATAGAAGATGGGGCTGGTGTCAGCTTCTCGGAGCAATTAAAGCTGCGATGGAGGAACTAGACACAGAAAGTTGGAGACGCGTGAAAGGACACAACTGGAAGCGGGGTAGGTGACTCACTGGTAGTTCGGGTTCATGTATGCGCCTTCCTTCCCTCGATAGGCGCGAATGCCAGAGTCGACGCTGACACCCGCCCCCGTAACGATCAACGTGCCCTCCGCGCCCTTCCGTTCTGGAGGCTGTGCGCCTTCCCTCAGACCAGCGCGGCTAGCTTCTGTGTCCTTGTCGCCGCGAAGGAAGCCCGCAACCCACCGCCCCGCCTCGGCGACGGGCATGCGGGTAAGCGGACCTGGCGGAAGTGGAGGCCGGTCTGGGAGTTTTGGAATCGAGATACGGACCATGGCGACAGTCGGCAGTCAGAGGAAGGTGTAGGAGCGTGGTCGAAACGGTGATGAAGGCGACAATGAGGAGCAAACGAAGATAGAAGACACTTGTCCAGTGGAGTCGAGTTGGAAATGGCCGTTGGTGTCGTCTTTTCGATCGGAGGTGGAGATCTCTCGGATTAGTCAACCATTCGCTTCCGAGATAAACATGTGTGGCGGCAATGACATCAGTGCTCCATCTCCGCTTAGCGCTCCTGACTCTGACACTCGACTTGCTACTGGCAACTGGGGTTGTACATGCACAAATCACATTGTTCTACTCTATATCCAATCGTAACTTAACGCGGAGGCGACCCCGTCCGACGCGCGCAGTGGGCGGGGCTGCGCCTTGCGCCTTCTTCAGAAACTCTGCTGCTTGCACACTTCGTGCCGTTCCACTTCGGGTCACGGCACTACTGGGATTCCTCGGAGACTATTGGTACACTTGTTTACTTGTTGGGTTGGCTTGTTGATGCAAATGACGGAGACGAAGAAAGAGAGAAAGACGAGAGAAATCGAATCAAGATCGGAACCTGGAGAACGAAGCGGAGCGAAAAACGAACGAGACGAGAGAAATCAAAAACAGGCGTAGGTGGAAAACCGACAGGTTGTAATTATCTGCGCTGTCGGTGTGGATAGCAGTGGCCCTGAGGGTTGAGGGTGTTGCGCCGATAGTGGTGTGCCAGGGGGTTCTGCACTCTAGGCATCGCCCATGACGACGTCGCCCTCGCCGTCGATTGACTCGGTAATCGTTCGGGGCAAGGGCGTAGGGGGTACGGCGTATCCGGCAAGGACGGTGTGCAGCCAGCGCGGGTCCTCGGGAGCGAGCGCAGGGCCGCCAGTCCATGAGCGCTTCACGATCGGGTGCTCGCTGATCGTCTGGATGGTCGGTCGCGAGTCGGGGTTGGAGCTGAGACAGTTTGTGATGAGGTCGACAAGGGCAGAAGACAATGGGGACAGGTCAAGCCAGGAGAAGTTGTCCTCGCGCAGGGCGTGCCAGCCAGCACCACCATCCGGCAGGTAAATGTTCATGGCGCTCTCGAGGATGACGAGACCAAAGCTGAAGATGTCGGCAGCCATGACAAAGACACCACGAAGCATCTCCGGCGGCATGTAGACACGGTCGCCCTCGCGCTCGAGCTTCTCCTCCCGGCCGTCGCCGATCGAACCGCCGAGTCCAGAGCCGGCAATGATCTCCGCGGGCGAGACACGCGGCCATCGCGTAGCGAGACCGAAATCGGCAATCTTCAGGCTGCGGTCGGCGCCCACGAGAATGTTGTCGGGCTTGATGTCGAAGTGGATCACACCGTTCGAGTGCAGATGGTTCAAGCCATCGGCCAGATCACGGACCATCTTCCACACACGGCCCTCGTCGAGACGCTCATTCTCATGGCCGTAGACTTGGAGGAAGGCGGCCAGAGACCCAACGCAAGCTTCAGTCTGGATATACAGTTGCCTATTCTGCTCCCAGGCGTCTTCAAACTTGATAACGTGGTCGTTGGGGTTCTTGGAGAGGAGACGGAGAATGTCGACCTCCTCGAGGTGGCGGAGGCGATCCTTGATGCCGTCGAACACTCCACGGGTCTTCTTCACGGCGAAGACGCCGTCGCCGTAGCGCTCCTTCACCTGAAGTACGGACGAGAAGGCACCTTTACCGAGCGGGTTCATCACCACGAAGCGGGACTCGAAGATGTCCTCCTCGACGGGGAGAATGGGCGAAGCGACAGGGTGAGACTGGCGGTGTCGCATGCGTCGAGCACGGTCGGCGCGGTCCTTAGTCGAGCCTGTGAACTCGGGCAGCGACAGGCGAGGGATAACCGCAGCATCGCGGGGGACAGACGCCGGTAAGAATCGCGCAGGCGAAGGCGACATCTCATTCGCTAAAGTCAGCGCACGCTGTGAAGCGAACAACTTACGAGCTAAGCTGCCGCGGCCTCCAGTACCCTTCGTAGGCGTCGAGTCCTCCTCGCTGCTGAGACCTTCAGTTGCGTCACTTACGCGCCGCAGCAGGCCGAGGGATGCACGCTTCTCCTTCAGAGATGTGGGCTTCTTCGAAGAGCCAAGACGGTTTGACGGGCTGGACTGATCGGTGTCTGTTGCATCGCCGGGAGACGAAGTCATGGTAACGACAAGGGCGGGAGGCTTGCGGACGGACGGCGGAGGCATCATGCTCGAGCCCAAGCCCATGTCCGCCGGCGCGGGCATGGCGGGCAGCGAGTTGGACAAGGACATGCGACCAGCCGATCCGTGGGCGTGGGTGAAGCTGTGACGCTTCACTGGCGTATCAGGCATCGAAGGCTTCTCCTCCAGGGGCTGGAAGCCGAAGCTAGATACACCATCGCACAGGAAGTCAAACCGGTCATGCTCGCCAGACCCCCTGCCTTCACCAGCCTGACCACCCAGGCCGCTTCGGCTCCCGAGAGGGCGGGCACGTTTGGCGGATGAGCCGATCAACAGGCTCTGCGACTTGGCCATCGTGCTGGGACGAATCACCGACGGAGGGGGCATTTTCTGCTCGTCGAAAGATGTGGAGCCGACAGAGTCTCGCGGCCTGAACTTTTGCCTGAGGCTGAAGCCTGACGACGCAGCCTCGAAAACCTCCGGATTTGGCTTGACGTCCTCGAAGCGTGGGGTGGATGTGATGGGAGGGGTAGTGCTGGAGCTGGATGTGGACAGGGACGAAATTGACGTGTTTGAATGGCTGAGTTCAGGAGGAGGAAGGCCACCGGAGAGGGACAGGGAGAGACCGGACTTGTGGCCGATGGAGCGGGAGATTGACTGCTCATTGCGGTCGGTGATGGACGAGCGGCGATGCCGTCCAGTGTTACCGAGCGACGATCGCGCCTTGCGGGCGTGGATGAAGGCGGCACCGAAGGGAGAGTCGTTCATCTTGTCGACCTGCAAATCGCCGAGAGAGACAGGCTTCTTCTGGGGGAGGCCGTTCCTGTCCTTGGAACCTCGTCGGAGAGCGTTCGTGATGTTGAGGCGGGGGATCCTTGAGCGTGATCCCATAGACCACGAAGAAGAGTTGTTGTTGGTCTCTGACTGAGATGGGCGAAGAGTAAACAAAGCAGGCTGCGGGGGCGCAACGGGTGTCATCAGGGCCGGTTCATCGTCGTCGATCAGGAGCGAGGGGCTGTCGGGGCTCTCCTGCATGTGTCTCCGTGGGCGCGGGGAAAACAGATCCTCGCCACTCTGCCCCCGGGCAGCCGCGAGACTGCGGCTGTGACCGGGAACATGGCGGATGGGGCTGTCATCATCGTGTAGCCGCAGCTTCTCGACTGCGGTGCCCATGCCACAGGCAGGAGTCGGGCTCTCAGCCACTGGCGAGGAAGACCTCTGCGGGTCCGAGTCATCGCCCCGAGCGATTCGGGGTCCATGAAGACAGAGGCGCGAGCGGGGGTCGCGGGGAAGAAATGAGAAAGTCGTAGTCGTTGTTTCGCGGTGACGGGGAAGGAGACAACTTGTGCTTTCCCTTGTTGGTGAAGGGAGAGCGGAAGGACGAGCTGGGCGGGGCATGGAAAGGGTTGAGGCTCTCGACAGAGCTCATTCCCTTTGAGCCCGCGGCCAGCGAGGGCATGCTGAACTGGTTGTGGTTCTCTGTCGTGACATACCACGTCGTGGGGCGCTGCCGCCTGGGTCGGACGATGGTCGTGACGCTCTCACCGGACATTTTCGCTGCGGGCTGATGCAAGTTGGGTGTGTGTGTGTGTGTTCGAGCGTTGTGTGTTGTTTGGAAAAATTACAGGTGTGTGTCGCTATGCAGTCTGCTGAGCCGTCCAGCGGTCACACGGACGGATTGATTGAGGATGGATGGATAGAGTAACAAGTGGTGTTGGTGGTGGCAAACGAAACCTGGGCGGTCCTTGCAGTCTTTGTGAGAAGGACGCGTGAAGAAGACTGATGGGATCGCGGAGTCGGTTTCACGGTAGGCCGTAGTCGATACAGTGTTGGTGGGCACAAGCGTCCTGGTAGATGGGGGGCTGGGGACGAGTGGGGCGTGCGCGGAGTCGGGCAGAGCAGGAGAGACGGGGCCGGGGGGGTGGATGGGTGGTGTCTAGCAAGAGATGAGGATGGATGTTGGAGGATGGAGTAATGGAGGATGTGGATGACGGATGTGGGGGCAAGGCGTAGGGAAGGCAGAAGGGGGAGGGACCTAGGAGAATGGCGGCGGGCGTGAGCGTCGAGTGGTCGTGATCTGATCCTGCACCCAGTGTTTGGACGTGTTTGGCTGGATTACGTAACAAAATCAAGATCAAAATCACACACGTCTAAATTTGCGCGCCCTGAACACTAGTCGAGGGACTGAGGGGGTAACCCCGCACGTGGAAACACTTGCGCCACCCTGTCGAGTGCAGCGTAGCGCGTTCTGGATGGGTGTCGTCCGGCGCGCGGCGTGTGATTTCTCTTTAGCGAGAGGTGCAAACCTGAAAAGGGGGCAGGGCGCAGAGTGAATCAATGCGCAATGTGTGCAATGAAGTGCTGTCGGCGGGCGGCGGTGTGAGGCAATTGCGCACAAAGGCCTGCTGCATTCCACCTCTATGGCCGACCCTCGTCGCCAGTCTCATGGCACCATTCACCCAGGATGGACATGGATGGACAGGACCCACTGATCCACCTGGGGATCCTGTTGAACCTGTGTCCTGCAACATGTCTGTGCTCGCTGCTCGACTGACGTTGTCTCATCTCGATACATTTCGCAACCACTGTCCTTCTCTGTCCCTCACAGAGCAGCAGCAATTGCAAACTCGCTGCAAACTGCGAGGTGGCAGGGCGATGACAAGTGTTGTCCAACACGGCCATCGCTGGGCTAGGCTGTGGGCAACGCATGCGTCTGCGGTGCGCAGAGTCGAGAGTAGCATGCCAGGGAGACTGGTGAATCATCAGCCCTTTTCGGCCCTTGAGCGCCCTACAGCCCTTGGCCCTGTGGCCAGCTGGGCGTCCTGAGCTTTGCCTGAAAGTGAAAAGTACAAGCGCCGCCGCCAGCGCCAGGAGTAAAAAGCAAAAGCACTCGCGTCATTTACCCCCGCTCCACACCATTTCACCCCTCCAACCACCGAAGCACGTCCGGCTGTTGTCAACGGGATAGATCGTGCGGCTGTTGCATCGATCTAACTAATGCTAAAGTTTTTGGAACACCAAAGTTGGAGCCAAGAAACGCGCAGTGCACTAGCAAGGATGGCGTTCTAGCGTGTTTCTGGCCTGTTCCAACTAGTCCGACATGCCCGACAGGTCTGGAAGTCCGCCGGAACAAGCTCGAGCGGAGATCAGATGGACGATCGCTCGCACCGAGCCCAGTCGTGCGGGCTGCCGACCCCGTGCGTTGGCGTGAGCATGAGCCCGCTCTGTTGCCGGGTGAGTCTGTGCTAGTCCGTGGTATCCGTGCGACATGCGACACAGTGTCGACGTCAGTAGATCCATCGATCTGGCTGCGAATCGTGTCTGAAGCTCTGCGAAGTGTGAACTGTGTCATGCAGACACGAGTGGGGCCGAACCAGATCCGGTGAGTCGCCCCACTGCTGCCACTCACGCCGTGCGCCTGACCAAGGCATGCTGTCTGACTCTTGTCTCTGCGTGCTCTGCGGACTATTGTCCGCGAAGTGTGAGCGCTGCAGACGCGCCTGCTTTTCTCGTGACGCCACGGCACGACAACGCCAGCACGCCAGTACGCCAGTACGGCGGTGGCATGGTGGCACGGGCCTCACCAGCCCGCTGAGCCACGCAGAGCCACAAGAGCCACAGTCATGTTCCCACGTCCCTATGCTCGTGCCTCCTCTCATGACTCATGAGTGAGTTCGTGAGGAGGGGAAGAAGGGCTCGGAGGGGGATCCAGCGCCGTGCCTCATGTCTTGCCGGCGCATTCCGGAGCAACCGACGAGGGGTCGGCCCCTTGCGAAGGACGCCCTTGGGTCCCAACTCTAATGCTTCCCTTGTTCCCCGCCCGCCGCAAGGACTGTGCAAGGACTTTGACAGGTCTCGAGAACTGCGAGCCGCTTCTGGCACTTGGGCGGACCCGGTGCACGCGGCGCCAGAACAATGTGGTACCCAGGTACCCAGGGATCGAGCGTACCTGCCTGTCGGTCCGTGCGCCGTTACTCTTCCCGACCCGAAAGGAGCTGGGCCATTCGCTCGGAATGGTTAGCAGCAGAAGCAGTAGTGTCACGCCGAATGCCCTGTAGCTGGTGACCTATGGTCTATGGTTTCGAAAGCGGTCCTCGGCGGTACTTGGACATGGGTCTTGGATCCGCCGACTTCTCGGACGATAATCCGTTGAACCGCGTTGAGCCCCGTTATCATCCCAAACGGCGAGATCGAAAGTCTGCCTAGGACTAGCCCTCAGAACGGGTGAACCGCACGGAGTCATCAGCCACCTGTTAACCGTTTGAGCAGTCCAGTGGCTGAGGTCCGTTGACAGTCGGGTGTGTCCTAGGGCCGGGCTTGTCGCGGATGTTTTGGTCGTTCCACTGGAACCCGAACCTTCCATCAACCTTCGGCAGGTAGAGGCAGGGTAAATTTGTGACTAAAGTCGTGTGCAACCTGCTCTACAACTCTGGGTGCAGTTGGTTGAAGACTTTCGTGAGCTTGTCCAGGGGTCGGGCGACGTGTGGCGTGTGCCTGCCATCTACTCTGCACACACATCCATACAAGGCTGTCAGCCTTTCGTGAACCTACCACTATGTGGCTTTGTCGGAGTGGCTGTGTGTACGCATGCTAACCTGCTCACGCGTGTGTATGTCTGATCAACTCAGCGCCTGTCGTGAACACACAAACAACAGATCCTGGCCGATTAAGGTGAAGGGTGAGGAGCGACCCGTGCGTCGTGACGGCGCCTGCAGAGGTTAGTCCCCCGATCTCGATCGGTCAGCTCTGCCACAGCGGCGTCTGGAATGAGCCTGGCGTGCGTCTGGCGTACGCCCATTCTACTTCGGACCTGTGCTTCCTGCAGAAATGTGAGCAGATGCCGAAGCGCGGCCGCTAGTAGGCGGTATCGGCTGCCTGAGCCACACCCGCCGGCATGGGCGGCACGGCAGTCGTTGTCACTCGTTGGACCGTCACTATCTGTGGCCGCTCCCCTGTCGATCGTGACGCCGCGGCCCATCTGGTGCTACGGCTTTAGCTAGGCTGAGTCAGTTTCGAGCAGGGCAGTACAAAGCCTCTTCCGAAGGAACGGGAGCTACGAGCCGAGCATCCCGGTCATTCATTGAGGAGCCGAAGCGTATTTAGATGTCGCAGCGACGGGTCTGTGGCGTTCAGTCGGTCTGAGGCTCATTATGGATGCCAGATAATCGCATTCGGCCGACAGGATCCCTGTCACGGAGCCAACAACGTCGGCAGCACATACAATCAGTCCGATCCGGAACTCTATTGATACGGCTATCTGGAATCTGAAACGTTTCTCCATTCCTCTTCGCACAACGAAACACGGCGGCTGTCATCGGAGGTCTGCTCAACACCGCAAACAGCCAAGTGAGCACAGCAGCAACACGTATACAATGACCTAATGCATAATGGTTTGGTTTACTCTGCTTGTTTATTGACTACGTGATTTCCTACTACCCTGGGATACTTAGAAGATTGATATAACTTTGATAGAACGATACAACACAGATGCGACCTTGCGGCGATGACACGGGTTGCGTTGGAGCATGCCCGTCTTTGAAAAGAAGATGAAACGTTGGTGGTGTTGGGTGTGGTTGGATATGAAAGCACACAGCACAGCTTGCTGTTGAAACGACACTGCGCACGCCTAGGTGCTCCTTGAACCCCTCAGCATCCCAGTCGGCCGATTACAGCTCGATGCTGACGAGGGCCCACCTGCGCGGGTCCCAATCCCACTCTCCGACGGGCGCGCTGGGGCGCACAGGGGCACCACCGACGTACATGAGAGCGTGGAGGAGATCATCGAGCGGGGCAGGCTCGCGCTCGTCGCGGTCGAGGATGAGCATGAGGTGCTCCGCCTGAAGCGTGTCCGCGAGGTCAAGGAGGGCCGTGAGATTCTCTCTGATGTCGGGAACGCCTCCAGCTGCCTGTTGCGGCACGGGATGGGGACGGTGCGGGTCGTGGGGGCGAAGAACGTCCGAGAAGTGCGGTGCGAGGTGGTCCGCGCGCGGCGCACTCGGCGGCGATGGCGGAAGGTGCACGAAGGCGATACGGCCCTGCGGGCTGTCGCACACAAATCCTTGCAGCGCGTGCGACGGCGGCATCACAATCTCCAGCATGTGCGAGCGGTCGGCGACCGCGCTCGCAGCGGTAGGGAAAACGCTCGCGATAAGCGGCAGGACGGGCTCGCAACGACTCGAGCCGCTCGAAGTGCGCGCCAACGGCTGCTCGACGAACGAGCTCACGGGCGATGGAGGGAGTGTGATAGGTCGCGCCGGGATGCGCACAGCCGTCGGCGGCGAGACGGAACTGGGCGGTGTCGGCGGATCGCAGGTTCGTGCGTGTTGCTGTGCTTGTTGTGCTGTGGCTTTCGGATCAAGCGGGCTCCCCCCGCTTGCCTCAAACCCACTGCCTTTGACCGGTAACCGGCGAGGCGCAAAAGCCCTGGGCAGTACCCAGGGCCTCGTCGGTGTAGAGGTAGGTTGTGCCGCCGGGGCCGCCAGCACGAGCGAGGGCGAGGGCGGACTGCTGGACCGCCGGCGCGGCGCTGAAGAGCCACGCACCCTCGAGGTCGGGGCGGCCCGACGGCTCCGGATTGAAGGACAGGTTGGCGTTGCGCACGTTCATGGGAGCCAGAGCTCGTTGAGCGGAGGTGTAGTGCCCGAGGCGTAGGTTTGTGGTGGTGGAAGACGATGGGACGACGACGAGGTTGAGTGGTCGCTGGCGGCGGCGTACGACGTGCTGCGGCGTGCTTCGGTCACCGCTGATCACGTGAAACCGTTCCCCCTCGCCTCCTGCCCGTTGGCCGTCCTAAGCGGTGCCCCCCGTACGGTGAGAGTTCGAGAACTGACAAGTCGACCGCGGAAGCAGATCACCCCGCACGTGACGGCCGAGGCCAGGCTGGCGTCGGCCGGCACTCTCCTGACGCTGGCGTCATTTGCCACCCAACGCTCCCAAAGGACGGTCCCGCTCACGAGAAACCGACCTTGGGTCTCGGTCAGGTCGAATCTTCACTTCTCCTCATCCCCCACCCTACACCACACAACACCATGTCATCTGCCCTCCCTCCCGACCAGGAGCCGCTGCTCGGTGCTTCAAGCTCGAAGAAGGGTGCCGCTCGCCAGTCCGAGGACCTTGTCATCGGCTCGAGTTCGGCGGCGCGCAATGCGTGGATGGACCAGCCGCCCGACGACGACATTCCCGACGACTTCAAGGTCGGCGTTACCGTTGCCGACTGTGACGAGGCGATCCGCCGCGCTTTCCTCCGCAAGGTGTACGCGATCCTGCTCTGCCAGGTCGGCCTCACTGCCCTCACCGCGGCCGTGCTCATGATCCCGGAGGCCGCAGACTTCATCCACCAGCACTCGTGGATCATCTGGACGGCCATGATCGGCACGTTCGTCTCTCTCGGCCTCACGTACTGGAAGCGTCACTCGTTCCCGGCCAACATGTTCTGTCTCGCTCTGTTCACCCTCTGCGAAAGCATCATGATCGGCTCGGCTGTCTCCTACTACGACACGTTCGTCGTCCTCCAGGCACTCCTCATCACGAGTGGCGTCTTTGTCGGCCTCACCCTCTTCACGTTCCAAACCAAGTACGACTTCTCCTCGTTCGGCCCCTTCCTCTTCGCTGGCCTCTGGGGTCTCATCACAGCCGGATTCGTCGGTTTCTTCCTCCCCTTCAGCCACGGATTCGACATCGCCATCGCGTGTGCTGGCGTCCTCATCTTCTCCGGCTATATTCTCTACGACACGCAACAGATCATGAAGCGTCTCAGCGTTGACGAGGCCATCCTCGGCTCCCTCACCCTCTACCTCGACTTCATCAACCTCTTCCTCTACGTCCTGCGTCTTGTGAGTACACGATAGCTATTCGGTCCTAGGAGGCATCAGCTAACGTCGCAGCTCAACTCGCAGAACGACAACAACTAATCGCTTGCCCTTCAAGCGTCCAGAATTGTCACCGACATTCATTGTATCCATCTGTCTGAATGTAGAAAATGACCTGCAAACTCTCGCTCGACGTCACAAGGGGAGATCATACATGTCTATGAACAATCGAGGCGTGGTTGTCCGATTGCGAGGGTAGTGTACACTTGAGATGCTATTGACCGAAACTAACTACTGATTATCTGAAGGGCTGGGAATTGCCTGCGACTGTCCATCCTGCTGGCTGGGCATGTTCTGTGCGGAGTCCACGACGCGCTGCTTCTTGGTCGCGGGATCTTCGACCGGCTCCGCTTCGGCCGGGCGCTTCTGTTGTTGCCTGTCGGAGTCGATCTCTCGAGCTTGGGAGTACTCAGAGGGAAGATCATTCTCGGGGTGTCCTGTGTGCGCAGGTGCATCTCGTCCATGACGCTCGGGCTCTTCCGGCTCATCAGCAGCCCGACGGGCGCAGCTCTGCGACTCCGATGTCGCAGGTTCCTCCACTCGGCCATTCTGCGGGGTCGAGTCAGAGGGCATGGCACTAGGGCCTCCCTCCTTCTTGTCACGCGAGAGTGGGCGGCTGCCGTCCTCGACTTTGAACCTGCCATCGGGGAGTTCCTTGGCCTCTTCCGAGTCTTCGAACCGCGTAAGACCCTCGACCCACTCAGAGCACTTGGGGACGTTAACCCAGTACGTTTCCTCGTGGCGGTAGCGTGTGAGCAGCACGGCTGAGAGCTCCTTGACGAGATGTTGGACGACGCGTGGGCGCACAAGACGCCAGTAGTAGTCGGCCTTGGCCTGGCGGCGGGGCGGGATCGGGTTCTTGATGTTCTTCTTGGCGACAACGACGTGCGGTGGGAACAGGTCACGGAAAGACTTGCGATCTCTACTCGCAAAGATCTTCGTGGCGAGGCACACGAGAGGGAAGGAGTCCTCCCTTTCGGTTTGCGCGACGAGCTGCGTGTCAGAGCAAAGTCTCCACGACAGATACCTACCTCGACCACATACCACGCGGCATCTTTGAGACCGAAGCTTTCGGCGAGCTGTCACGTCAGCTCACACCACACACTCGCACTCACGGTTTTCTCCTTGCCAAAGGTAAACAAGTTGTTGCGGTAGCGATCAATCGTGTCGTAGATGACGACCTCCTTCTCCTGCATGTCAAATAGAATGGCAAGAGCATCTTCGCCCGGAACAGTCGACACAAAGATAATCTTGCCGTAGAGGTAGCGATTGGGGAGGACCGCTTGAGCCTGCGAGACGTGGGTAATGGAGACGCGCGGAGGAGCGCGCTGGCCTAGGTGCTCGATGTAGATGCTTCGTGCTCTGCGCCAGAAGACTTCGTGGTCCTTTTGAGGAGCCTCTGAGAACACATTGCGAAGGAGGGACTGTAGTTCCGAGGGGGAGATTGTTGCGAGAGGACCGAGTTGAGAAACGGTCGCGGCTTCGGACGAGTCGCGTGTGTTCGCCGCGGGGGGGTTCGATGCTGCCACGCCAGCTACGTTGAGGTACGCCGCAGTAGCCCTCTCCGAGCGGCCAGTATCCCTACTACTGCTTTCGTCGCCGGATCTCGAGCTGCAAGACACGCTCATGTGATTAGCGCCATTGGCGCTCGGTTGAACGAGGTCTTTGCGTTGCGATGATGGAGGATGATGGCCATTCGACGGAGTGTCAGGGAGGCTGACGACAGTGTCATGGTCAGGTGGTGATGGCAGAGGTCCTGCCCTCGAAGTTAGAGTCGACGTTCTAACTCCTACTCCGTTCACAGGAGACACAAAGCTCTGGGGCACAGCCATCGGGGATGAAAAGTGCAGAGACGGCCGCTGTGCAGCTCCAACCCTGTCGGATGCTGATGGGACAAACGCCTCGCGGCGATAGCTGTGGGAAGCTCGCCTGGCTTCGTCCGTCACAGCAGCATATATCTTCGAGCTGCTTTCGTGGAAATCCCGGGCTTGGGACTGCCGGCCCCTATGCTGGATTAATCCCGACAAGTGATCGATCCGGAGAGATGTGGCTTGATGCGAACGATGCAGTTGCTCCGTCAGAGTGTTAATCGCGGCAGCCATCTGCCTCATTTGGGAATGCAGCGCTCCTTGTCCATCGGCGAACGCGTTGACTGCAGCGCTCTGGGATGCCATTGATTCTCCCATTCGGGCAATCTGAGCGGAGAGGCCTTGAAGTAGGTTCGCATTGCTGTTGGCATCTGCCACTGACAGTGGCGTTTCAGACGGAAACGGCTGGAGTGAGCTAATGCCATCCAATACTCCTCACCCCTTTCTTACTGCGCTCCAGAACGCGAACAGTGAGGGGATCAAGACCGAGAATGGGGACCTCGGGGTTGTCCAGCTCGAAGAGTTTGCCCGCCATGACGCATTGAGTGATCCAGCTCGTGACGGCAATCGGGCATTGCCAATGTTCTGGAACATCTGCCTCCACCGGGGTGGCAAGGTCACTACGTTCATCGCTCAAAGGCAGCAGAACGAGATCGGGGACGCTTTCGGTCGGAGGAGTGATAAAGCGGCCTCCAAGAGCCTGCTGTCAGTCTTGACCCGGACATTGAGTGCTCACCTTTACTCCTGAATGCCACTTGGAGAGTGATTTCGGGTACCATTGCGATGGGATGATACCGAAGGTGAGACCGAGGAAGACTAAAGGCAGCTCATCGTCCGCCTCCTCGCCCTGCTCAGTCACCACGGGAGATGGAAGCACGTTCTGGGGTGGCTGATCGAACGTGACCGATGCATGAGGTCTGCCAGAGCTGACCCCGTCACCGATTTCGATCGGGCGGCGAGAGAGTGTGGAGGTCGAGCCGGGGACAATTGAGATGTGGCCATTGGATTTGTTGACACTAAGCCTAGGGTTCTCACTGGGCACCTCGTCGCTGTTAGAGTCGATGATGTCCATGTCGCTGTCGTAACCGGCCACTGGGAAGAATGGAGGTGCCTTCGACGCGACCCGTGACGAGGAAGGACCAGTGGAGGACTCGCCGTTGCGTTCCTGGCCGAGTTCTCTCCACCGATTGAGCAGCATGCTGTTGCAGCAACTGTCGTTGTTGTGGTTGCCACTTGTTACAGCTTTGACGGGAACTGGGACTGGTGACCAGCTATCGAGTACTGTTGGCCGTTGGAAGCGTGTGATGTGGGGTGAAGGAAAGTTCATTACGATGTAGCAGAGCGTTCATACGCAACGGGTGAAACCACAATGACCGTGTTGTGAAATAGCAGGTGGGGAATAGCCAAAAGGGCGGAGGGGCGTAAGCGATCCAGTGGTGTTTGTGTGCAGAGGAAGCGTGGCCTGGACGACTATGAGAGCCCCCAAGACACCTAAAGGTAGCAACGTCGAGTAAAGAGAGAGACTCCACGAACAATTGTTTGATGTCTAGATCTAGACAAGGGTCCGATGCGATGCACAGGGCTTGAGGGCACAGTTGCCGATGTCGCCAGGCGGAGGCATGGTCGCTGGGTGGCGAGGACAGCGGCTTAGGCCATGGCGATCCGACGACTGGCAGAAAAGGGGTGTCGAAGGATTGGGGGCAGGGTCGAGCCTTCTGCGCAGAGCACGGACCGTTCTCGACGTCTGTCTCTTTGTTGGTGCGGACGGGCTTGGAGGTCGGCGCGCTCGAATTGCGCGCGAATGTAAGGGTGAACGTATATATGGAGTCACAGTATGGTACGTGCGGAAAACAATGTCGGCGGGTTATATAAATACACTCCCCTGCCTTTATCGAGATTTTATCGACGCACAGATGGAATCTTTCTCCGCACCCTAGCTTCGTCAGGCCCCGGCGACGCTGACCCCTCTGTCTCGCCGTCGCTCTGTCTTTGGGCGCAACAATCTACGGCTTCGGGTTCTCCATCCTGCCCCGGGCAAGGCGACGAGCGTATCAGCCGGACATTCCGGGAGATGATTGATGTCTCTTTGTTCGGACTTCACCGACGGGTGACTCTGAGGAAGGCAGAAGAAGAAAGGGCGACCGCCTCCTCAGCGTCGCATTCCAGCCTCGACAGCAATGCGTGCTTCGCTGATATCCGCCGTCCGTGCCTTGGGTACCAGTGCAGTGGTGGACTACGAACAGAAAAGACGGCAGCGATCGTCATCGCACAGTGCCGATCGGCTTCGGAGCTCGGTCCTGTAGAACCTGAATTCCGCTATCAGACGTGCGGAAAAGGGATGGCCTCTCAGTCAGATCAAGTCTCCGCGGAGTGTCGGATGTAGGATTTGCGGCCGTCCCCTATCGGTGCCTTGTCCGTCTGCCGACCGCATGCAGGGCGGTAACGGAGCCCGACGGCCCTAGAGATGTTCACGCCGGCTGTTGAACTGTTGATTGACGATCACGGCACATGGCCAGGCCATCCTTATCTTAGACTTGTCGCCAGACCGGGCCTTCCGAACAGCGACGGGGAAGCCGGAGCTGAAGTTGGGCATGTGGACATATGCACATTACATGAGCGGCTATCCGAAAATACGGTACCAATACGGACGAGACTTGAGCTTCTTGATGGGCTGAGGGGATTCTTCTGACTCTGATGCTCGCTTCTTCGAAGGCTGAGACGGGAAGAGAATGCGTCGAATGCCGCTCAATGTTCTCTCAGCGCGGTCCACTGATGAGGTTGACGAGGTTTGGTAGCAGCTCTCTGTTTGAGCGAAGAAAGCGGAGATGTCGGCAGTCAGAGCCACACTCTTGTCCTCCAGTGACGTCGGGCTCGGGTCGGCAGAAGTTGGAGCCCGGGGCATCCTGTTCTCGCACGTTTTGGAGAGGCGAGAGCACCCGGCTGTTTCTGGGGTCGGCGGCAGCAGGGAAAGCTGATCAAGAGAGTCAATGTCGTTCTTGACATTAGTCGAGGAAGGTTTTTTGACGGCGTATCGACCAAAGTTATCGGTATCGGTTGCCTGAATTTGCCGTTCAAGCTCCACCCTGAGAAACCCTTTCAGGTTTTCTGTTATCTCCTCCGCCAGAGCCGCTGACGAAGTCCTCCTTTTATCAAGCTCCACTTGCTGGAGCTGGAGCTGTTCATGCAAAGCGGCGACCTCCGCTGCGTGCCTCTCTCGTAACCGCATCATTTCCTCCATCAGGTTTGCTGCCGAGTGCCTGTAACCCAACGCGGTCGTCGAGGTCGTGACCGCAGGACCAGACGGCATCATGATCGACGGATCCAACCCTAGCAGTATAGGCCGCTCATAGCCGATCCGTCGCCAAAGCTGATGACAGGACACGATCCAGGGAGTGACGACAAACTTGAGATTGTTCCAGCCGGCTGGAAGCGGGGTTATGAGCGAACCGCCCGGTGTGCGCTGCTCGTATATGAGCGGCAGCAACAAAAGTTCCGGCGGAGGTTGGACGCGCGCACCGGGCCTTCGCACCTTGCCCCCACCGAGCTGCGAGTCAGTACAACGTCGAGACTCTACGAGCAGAAACCCGACACTCACTACAATCATGCGTTGAGCCTCCATCAAGATTTCTGGTTCCCACTGGTCGGGCAAAACACCAAACACCAATCCCGTGAACGGTCCGTCCCCGTGGTTCGCCGGAGGGGGACTGGACGAGGTCGGTGGGGTGCGGTAGGGAGAAGTTGCTGTGCAGCGTTGCGGAGACGGAGTTGGAGGGTCGGGGAGGAGCGCACTGCCATGTCTGGAGGAGCCTGCAATAGCTATGGGCGAGCTTGAAGACCCAGTGGATTCACTTGCAGAGTCGTCAGGGCCCGAGTCGTTCTCCGACCCGGTCCTCACCGACATGTTGAGGTCGTTGGCTAGAAGGGTTGACGAATAGTGTTTAATCATCAGCAAAGAAGAGAGATAGAGAAGACATTATTATCATCGTGTGTGTGTCTTCCTCCTCACAAGGATGTGTCACCTCCCAAAGCGTGGAGACGTTGCGCCCCTCGGCTCCCACTTCGATCTCGCCACCTTGCCACTCGACTCCGCACTTCTAGTAGTGTGCATGGTGGCAACGGGTGGAGGCACCTGGAGGTGAATGAGGTATTGGGGAGGAGTGGGTTTACGTAAAGGAAAAGCACGTGGAATGGTCGTTGAACCGCCACATTCGCCATAATCCAAATTCGCATATTCCCGTCAAACCTCCGATCACTGTGCGTCGAACTCGCCTGCCTGGAGTTTTGGTGAACAAGTCGTGCGCTTGAGCTTGTCGTCCATCAACCGTCAAATAATCATCAAAAATGGTACGTCGTCGCGGCGAGGAGGACAACATCGACGAGATCGTGTGAAACGAGTTGCTGACGCTCCGCAGGGTAAGGTCTGTACTTGAAGTTTGGTCTCGGAACCACGTCCAAAGGGATATGTAGCTGACGGAAGGTCCTTTTGACCTGGTCTGGCTCCCGTCTTTATACAGGGTACTCCCTCTTTGTGAGTAGTCGCAACTATTTCAGCGAGAAGAGCCCAGGCTGACTCTCTACAGCGGTAAGCGTCACACCAAGTCGCACACCCTCTGCCGTCGTTGCGGCAACCGCTCGTTCCACAAGCAGAAGCACAGTAAGTCTCAGCAAAGACCAGGGCCGAGAGTCGAGGAAGGGCACGAAGGATACGGACGCCGATTATGCGGACTCGGGCGCGATGGGAAGGCATGGGATAGCGAGAATAGCCCCACAAGCGGACTCGATGGAAGGGCAACGGGACCGACACGTCTGCCGCCGATGTTTCGGCTGCAAGTTTTTTGTCGACAGCGGCTCGCGCATTCGTCTCATGTCGACACTAGCCCTTCACGTTGCAGCATTGCCTCGAGATGAGCTGTCTCGATCGCCGCCTGCTCGCATGCGCGTCGTTGTCCCGGGGAATCCGTTCCGAGCTCGTTTTATGTCCGCGGTCATGTGTCCTCCGATGCTCTCGGCTCTAGTCACGAACAACCCGGATCTAGACTAACCCTCAGCCTGTGCTCAGTGCGGTTACCCTGCTGCCAAGCTCCGTTCGTTCAACTGGGGCCTCAAGGCCAAGCGCAGAAAGACCACCGGCACCGGCCGTGCCGCCCACCTCAAGTCGGTCAACCGTCGCTTCAAGAACGGCTTCCGTGAGGGCCAGTCTGCTCCCAAGAAGGCTGCCCCCACCGCCTCTGCCTAAATTCGTCGTTGATTTATGATGGTGTGATAGGGCTGCAGGCTTGCAGATGTATTTTTCATCAGCACAATTATAGACATTACTTTTCTCGCTGCAGCTGCATTTGCGCTCCATTCGTGCTACCTACTGATCGTACGCGTTCTTGTGCCCTCCAGTCCGTAACGTACAGCGGCTGCACCGGCGCGTATTTGCCACCAAAGAATGCGAAAAACTGCGGGCAGAGAGCAAACTGTGAAGACTTTGCCATCCCTTCGATCAGGCACACGTCGCGCTGAGGCTCTACTAAGGCCTAGTCTGCCTGCGCTCGTGGGCGACCGATAGCTGCCATAGACCGGCACGGTGACACAAGACACTACTGCAGCTGCTTCAATATGTACAGGGGGTGGGTCACAGATGCATACCCTAGAGAGAGAAAAACTACCAAAGAGCACCCAACGCTTACTGCTGGTACTCGGCGATCTTCTTCTCGATGTTGGCGCGGCGCTCCTCGCGGGTGAGGGCCTTGGCCTTGTACTTCTTGGACTCCTCGACCCACTTGGAGTCCTTCTGGGTGGGCTTGAAGGCGGGGTCCTCGCGGATCTTCTCGTAGGCGTCGCGGTACATGTCCTCGATGTCCTCAGAGCCAACCTCGTCGGCGAGGTAGGTGGCGAACTGCTTCTTGAAGCGCTCGTCGTCCTCCTCCTCGAGCTCCTCCATGTACTCGGCGACGTGGCCACCGTAGATGTACTTCTGGAGAACCTCGGCGTCGAGGGTCTTGGTCTCGGGGTCGAAGCCGGGGAAGCGCTTCTCGTTGTGGGGAACGTAGAGACCACCGTCGGAGGCACCCTTCATGGCACCGAAGACACGGTTACCGGTCGAGGTGCGGCGGAGACCGACGTCAAGGAAGACCTTGAAGGGGCGGGGCTCGTCCTCGCCGAGCTCCTCAACGAGCTCGAGCTCGCCAGAGGGCTCGGTGAAGCCCTCGTACTTGTCAGCGAGGCCGACCTTGGTGAGGGCACGGCGGGCGACAAGGAGACCAGTGGCGTAGGCAGCGGTCCAGTTGGTAAGACCGTGCTTGATGCCGTAGCGGGGAAGCTCCTTCGACGAAGCCTGGACGAGAACAACGTCACCCTGGAGCTTGGCGTAGGTAACCTGGCAGATAACCTGGCGGTTGGTGATACTGTGGCAGTCAGAATTGGGGTTCATCCAAAATTGTCGCTGGCGGAAGGCACAGGGTCGGACGACTCTTCGCCCAACTTCCTCCGACCAAATCGACTCCTCCGCGTCCGCCAACGCTGCAGAGAGCGCTCCGAAGCGCTGCGGCGCGGAGATCTTCGTACTAACCGAACAACAAGGCGGTACTTGGGCGAGGCGAACTTGTTCTTGGCCTGGGTGGTCAGGGCACGGCGCGCCTGGTAGTCGGTCTTGCCCTCGCGACGACGACGGGGCTTAACCTGGTAGCGAGAGAAGTACGCGGACGACTTGACAAATGGATTAGCGTGTTTCTGGCGGGGTTTCTTACCAGTCTTGCTGAACGGCATTTTGGATCTGGTCTCCTTGTTGAGGGTTGGAGAGTTGAAAGTTCGTAGAGCACTTTCGAGGAGCAGCAGCCGGCAGCCAGCCAGCCAGCCGCGCCATAACGGAAGCAAAGGCCAGGCACCGCGGCGATCAGAAATTTGGGCGTATTTTGCATTATGCCGCAGTTCTCCGAGAATTAAGCAACCTTTGTGGCGATCTCTCGTCGTTTGCACGTGTAGAAGAGAGATAACCACGTGCCTGGAAGGACGAGCTTGGGTTGGGAAGATGGTCTGATGGAACTTGTAGATTGTCATCGACTTCTACTGAACTCGAATGTTTCTTGGGGACAGCCCAAAGCTCGCGCCAGGCATTGCCAGGGAGCTTCATTGGTTCTTGTCCCACCGTCACTTACTGTCTACGCATCCTCGAGAAGATCAACCCGGAATATCACCGCTCCAATAAATGTAGCCCGAGATTGGTGCTGGTGACAATAATCGCATCTTCACGGCTAATTCAATGTCACTGAGATATTGTCCGAGACGGCCAATCCGAGTCATTACACGAAGCGCGCAGGTCGACGAACTATGGGCTGCAACGACTAGCGCCCTTGTGTGGCTACACCCTGCTGCTCATCGAAACCTGCTTCTTGGCGCCTTAGCCTCCACCGTGAAGATGGCAAAGTCAGTTTGCGTGCTGTCTTTCAACATCAAAAGAGCGTCCCGCAAGCTCGTTTACCTCACTTACATTTCCTCCACAGGTCCAACAAAGTTATACAAACTTCAGCACTGGCGAAGAGCTCGCTTGAGCAAAAGTGCCGCCTCAGGATGGAACGAAGAGGTGATTCCTGTGCTTCGCGAACTCGTCCTGTCGGGCTCCGCGAGGTCGATGCCAGCAATACGGCTCATCGCGCTGCTTGAGCCGCATGCATACAATCATCACAGGCCCCAACCGTACCCTAAGTCCTCGCCTGCAGCTCTGATCCCTGTGGGATCGCGTTATCGATGAGCATTGTAGTGCCGAAGCTTTGGCCAAGCCGGAAGCCGCCTCCTCAAAGATGACCGAGGCCTATGATAGAGGGGACGTGTGTCCAATTTCGTGTTGCAGAGTGAACAATCACAAGTTAATCCGCGCGCTCCGCCTAAATCAAGCGTAGCTCCCTGATGTTCTACCAGAAGGAAGTGTATCTGCAGAGCGATAGTGGTGGTGACCATAGGTCCGCCGTCGGCCTGTCAGCGCTGCTGCATGCTGGGGTCTCCGGGACTAAGGCGAGCAGCAACGACATGACGTCAAAACTCTTGGCACCTCCACTATCTCTCATCATCGTTCGTCAGCTGATGGCACATGTGCCCCGCATGCCCCGCACTGCTGAGTCTGCGGATAAAGCCCTGGAGTTGACGGCCAGCTCTCGGGCTACTATCCCAACGGCGCATGACCAGTCCAAGCAGTCGTCAGCCTGCAGAACGTCGCTTCGGCGTGCGCGAGCACCGCCTCACTCTCACGTCTGTTCCGAGCTTCGTAGCGACCTTACGTGACCCTCCGAACCCATGGGCATCCGTGGTTTTGAGCATCCGTTCCTGCGGGTCTCATTCCCAGAGTACCGGGGACCAGGGAGACAGGAAACGCAATCAGTGGAAAGACTGCGCAACGACCCCTGCGCAGTCGCGGAACGTGCGATGACTTCTGAGACCGCTTCCCGTGGATGCATTCGTGCATCTCCCTGCATCTCCAGCAGACAGGAGGAGGCCGAGGAGGGGACATCCTGCAACTTACAAGGTTCGATCGCGGCATGCGAGGATGTGGGGTCGTGGGAGAATGTGGGAGGATGCGAGGGCAGCCGACGATGAAGCCTTATATCTGGAGCTTGGCATTCAGACATGGGAAGGCACTCTGGGACCCCGGAGCGCGACGCGCTTGATTCGCGGTCATGCGTTTCACGCCGCCCTCTGCCCCTCCGCTCCGGCGCTCAAGGTGGGACCGAGCATCCGTCCCGTCCTCTGTCCGTTCACACAGGCACGTCGCCGTCTGCACGACGGACTGAAGCTTGAAGCTTCCCGTCCGGATCCGAGGCCATCTCCGTCACCTTGTTTGTGCCATCTGGAGAAACATATAAGCTGGTTGCATAGCCACACCAGATCCGCAGCACACCTCAACGATGGTATCTACAGCAATGCTCAAACTTCCCCTCTTCCTCCTTGCCGGCTTCGCATGCGCTGAGTCGCTCGAGCCCGCCCCTGAGTCCGGCACACTGGCTCCGCCGCCCGAGCCGACCAGCTTCGTTCCGGGCAAACCTGCCCACGAGCCGGTGTCGCAGCGGTGGCACTTCCTGACTCCGACGGTCGACTACGTCGAACTGAGGAACCGGGACTGGGAGACTTCGAACCTCGCTGCCAACTCGCCGTACTACTCCGCTGCTCTTTTCCGCTTCATCGGCACCGGCATCAACATCACCGGGAACAGCAACTCAGGCATCGACAAGCTGAGCCTACTCGTGAACAACACTGATCCCGAGGTGTTTGGAGCCAAGGGAGAGAAGATCCAGCTGGAGAACGGCCGCATTGCGGGCGTGATCACCGGCCTCAAGTACGGCTGGTGGGAGCTTGGATACCGAGGAAACAACGGCACCACCTTCTACCACGCGACTGCAATCGGGCAGCCCGGAGTCAGTCGTGGCAAGTCGAGGGAGATCACCAAGGCGCCTCACGTCCAGTTCGAGGGCCAGTGGGAGAACGGCCGCACCAACTCGACGGGTTCCTCCGTCACATTCTGTCCTCCCATCCGCACCGGTCTCCTTGAGATCACGGCCAACCAGCCCCCCGTGCCCTTCGGCGCCTTCCGTGTTACCATCGACCCTCATCCCAGTGTTGGACCCTCCATGCAGGACTACTTCCCGCATCTGCAGCCCACGGACATCCAATTCACGATCGCTCACGGAAACGTCCCCATCTACTCGACTGTACTTGACCCTATGACTCGATCTTGCGTCAAGATCGAGTACATCGGCGACGGCACCAAGCCCTTCGTTGCACACAACGTCGCTTACCACACGTGAGTAACGCCGCCAGTGATGTGCACTGACAAGACAGGAGCTTCCTGCGCTAGTTCAAACCAGAGGAAGTGTCCGCAAAGAGGATGAAGTTTACCTGTAACAGCTGAGGTGTCTATAGTCAGAGCACTGTGTAGTGTGTTGCATGAGAGCATGCAGGGAGTGCGTCTCGTCATGATTGTGGGCGCCTTCGTGAAGAAGAGCTTCGCCTCGAACGGCAGAACGCCATAACAGCGCGTCCGGCCTCTGAATGCGGCACTAGGGACAACTGCGGGAGGGCGAGCGGGACATCAGTAGTGCTGAGATAGGTGAACGCAGAAAGCGCAGAGATAAAGGGGGTGATGAGTTCCGCCTAGATTATTTCAAAACAATGAACGCAGAATTCGAGCCAAAGCGCGTTAATCGAGGTTGTCATCTGCTGCGCCGTGATTTGTTCCGTCGCGAAAAATGTGGACAAGCGCTGAGCGGCATGCGAAGTTCTTCCAGGTTGATCGACCCCGGGGTATACCGTAACACCCCGAATCCCTTGCCCCCTTACACTGATGGATTCTCGGTAAACGTCAGATTGTGAGGGCAACGAGCGTCGTCTTTTGCGGTGTTGAGCGGAACTTCGAAACTGAGAAGCCGTGAAGGATCAGCATCTGAGGGTTGTCTGAACACTTTCTCGCGGGTGGAAGGTGGAGGGAGCGGTCTCTGTGACGCCGGGTGGCAACCACACGTGACCGGAAGAACACCATGGGAAGACTCCCTCCCGTGCCTGGGCAGAGATATTTTGTTGTGAAGATATGACGGCGGTCGCCAGGTCTCTGAAGCTCTGACTGCATTCCCAGCGACAATGTGAGTAGCTAAGTTTCGGGCGGTAGAGCTGATACCAGGTCACGACTCATCTTCCAAAACTTGCCGCCGAACATCTCGCCCGAGGCGTTCAAGTCCAAGCTCACCGAGCCGAAGACACTCCAGTCCGTGGTCGTCACCGACACCAAGGTCGTTGCCAAGCGCCGCTTCGCCTTTGTCGGCTTCCGGACGGATGAAGATGCCGCCAAGGTCAAGGAGTGGTTCAACGGCAGCTTTGTCTTTGGCGGAGGCAAGGTCAAGGTCGAGTTTGTTAGCGAGGAGCCGCTCGCCCCGAAAGCCAAGCGACAGAAGACCGACAAGCACGACAAGAAGGCGGAGGATGTCACCACGGAGGAAGCCGGCCCTTCAAAGCAGTACAAGGAGTTCATGGACGTCATGAAGGGTACCGACGGCGCTACGGCTGAGAGCAGTACTACCGCTCAGGCCAAGGCTAGCAAGAAGGGCAAAGAGAAGGCGACGCCTGAGCCCGAGGTGATCCCTGCCGATGATGAAGACGACGACGATGCCGCGTGGCTGGCCAAGAGGAAGGCTGCCCTCGACGGAGATGAGGATGTGAGTTTATGTTGCGTTAACGCTAACTGACATCAGGAATCCGACGAGCCCAATGTTGACCCCGAGGACGCGATGATTCTGAGCACTGGACGATTATTCGTTCGTAACCTCGCTTTCGTTGCCACTGCAGACGACATCAAAGCGCACTTCGAGAAGTTCGGACCCATTGTCGACGTTCACATGCCCGTCTCTCACTCCACCGGCGAGCCGCTCGGTACGGCGTTTGTGCTGTTCCGCGATCCGAACAACGCTCTGTCTGCTCGCCAGTCGCTCGACAAGACGACGTTCCAGGGACGTTTGCTCCACGTTCTTCCAGGACGAGCACGACCAGGCCAAGAGAACGCTTCCGGAGTGGCGGGTATTATCGACGGCAAAGTTCTCGGCAAGGCGACCGAGGCGCGAGGAGAGGTCAAGCAGCGGCAAGACGAGAAGCGCAAGGCGGACAGCGCTCGAGGCGTGAACTGGGCGACGCTTTACATGAATGCGGACGCTGTTGCCGCTTCCGTCGCCAAGCGGATGGGTGTCTCCAAGTCGGAGCTGCTCGACGGATCGGACGATATGAGCCCGGCTGTCAAGCTCGCGCTCGCCGAGACGCAGGTTATCGCGGAGACCAAGGCGCACTTTGAGAACGAGGGCATCGTCCTCGACTCGCTGCAGCCGCGTGTCCCCCGCTCTCAGACCACGATCCTCGTCAAGAACATCCCCTTCGGCACTACGATCACGCAGCTCCAGGACCTGTTTGCTCCGCATGGTGACCTCAAGCGCGTCCTCCTCCCGCCGGCTGGCACCATCGGCGTCGTCGAGTTTGTGAACAACATGGACGCCGGACGTGCGTTCAAGGCACTCGCCTACCGCCGCCTCGGAAACTCGGTGCTCTACCTCGAGAAGGGTCCCGTCGGCATGTTCAAGGACCCGAACGCGATCTCGACCCCGGCAGCCAAGGCGGCTGAGGAGCGTGCCAAGCTCACGGAGAAGGTTGCCGAGGCCGAGGCGACGCTGCGCGACAAGCCGGACGAGTCGGACGAGGCTGGTGCCACGCTCTTCCTCAAGAATCTGGCTTGGGCCACTACCAACGAGACGCTTGCGTCTGTGCTCTCCTCGCTGCCTGGCTACTCGTTCTCGCGCGTGCAGACCAAGCCGGACCCGAAACGCCCCGGTGCGCGCTTGTCGATGGGTTACGGTTTCGTCGGCTTCAAGACGAAGAAGGAGGCGCAGGCGGCGCTCGCGGGTCTGGAGGGCTTCAAGATCGACGGACACGCGATCGAGGCCAAGTTTGCCCAGCGTGGCCAGGACGAGGTGGAGAAGAAGCACAAGACCAAGTCGGAGGAGGGAAAGACGAAGGGCACCAAGCTTCTCGTCAAGAACTTGCCCTTCGAGGCGACCAAGAAGGATGTGCGCGCCCTCTTCAGCGCATACGGCACGCTGAAGAGCCTGCGTGTGCCGCGCAAGTCGACCATGTCCGCCACCGGCGCCCAGTCTACTCGTGGTTTCGCCTTCCTCGAGTTCACGACGCATGCCGAGGCGCAGCGTGCGATGGACGCACTCAAGCACACGCATTTGCTCGGCCGCCACCTCGTCACGGAGTGGGCCAAGGACGAGGACAGCGTCGATGTCGACGCGCTCCGCGAGAAGGTGTCGCGCGACAGCAAGAAGGGCGAGCTTGGCGGACGCAAGCGCAAGCTCGACCTCACGGGCCGGGGGGGCATCGACGAGAACGACGGTCTGGATCTGTAGGACTATGTATGCATTTATTTTGTCTTCAGATGGTCATATCTCTGTGCCATGCCGCAAGCATCAGCCTAAACGCGCCGATCCGGTGCTCCATGTTTTCGTTTCAGGTCCCAGATCGCGGACCTAAATGTCGGCACAGGGATGGCGGCGGGACGCGTCGGGTGACAGCACGACAAGAGGCCCGAATTCGATCGCCCAGTGCTTGTGCTTTCCAACACTCTACCACCATGCACGCCCGGACGACACGCGCGTGCACCGCTCTCTTCAGCGTCGCGGTCATTGCCGCGCTGCTGCTCGCCGGTCATGCGAGTGCCGACGAAAAGGTGAGCCAAGGGTGTATAGTTAAGCTGACAACAGCTCCTGCTCGTGGATGACCACCACCACTCGGCCGGCATGAAGAAGTTCTTCGACGCGCTCTTCCCCTTCAAGAGCCCCGCGTGGAACTCGGGTATGTCACTGTGAGCTGGTCGTGTTGCTGACTGCAGTGCTCGCGACGTTCTACATCTCGTCCGTCCCGAACTTCATCCTCATGGCCGTCCCTGCCGATCTCGACCCTGCATCGCTGAACACGATGATTGCTTTTGCGACTGGCGGTCTCCTCGGCGATGTATTCCTGCACCTCGTCCCCCATGTCTTTTTCGGCGAGGGTGAGCATGGCGACCGCACCGTTGTTGTCGACGAGAAGCGCAACATTGTCATTGGCGGTGCCATCTTCGCTGGTTTCGCTGCCTTCTTCGTCCTGGACAAGACGATGCGTGTTCTGAATGCGCAGGCGGGCAACGAGGGTGGTCACCACCACCACGGACACGGCCACAGCCACGGCGCTGTCGAGGGCAACTCGACGGCTGTTAAGAAGTCGGAGAGCGAGCTTCGCAAGCGCAAGGTCAAGGGCGAAGACGGCATCGAGGTCGAGGTCGTCACCGAGAAGGAGGAGAAGGAGGTCAACCCCTCGCTCAAGCTCTCGGCGTACCTCAACCTGTTCGGCGACTTCACGCACAACATCACGGACGGCCTTGCCATGGCCGCGTCGTTCTATTCGAGCCCGCAGCTCGGCGCCGTTACCACCATCGCGACCTTCTGCCACGAGATCCCCCACGAGGTAAGCTAGGCTGTGTTCATGAGCTGACATCAGGTTGCCGACTACTCGATCCTGATCAAGTCCGGCTTCACCAAGTACCAGGCGATGGGCTCGCAGTTCTTCACTGCTGTCGGCGCGTTTGTTGGCACCTTCCTCGGCATCTGGATTGCGGAGACGACGGGTGCCGGCAACCCCGATGCCCCCGTTGCCCCTGGCCAGGGCATCTTTGGCACGAGCGTCGGCCCCGGCGAGCTCGTCATCCCTATGACTGCCGGCGGCTTCCTCTACATCGCCAGTGTCAGCGTGATCCCCGATCTGCTCGAGGAGTCGCGGAGCATGAAGCAGGCGTTCAAGGAGGTGAGTGTGCAGAGTGGGCTCTCTGCTCAAATGGTCATTTGGGCAAGCTAACTTTATTCAGTACGGAGCAATGGCGTTCGGACTGTTCTGCATGGTGAGTAGCGCGCTGTCTCGGCTCTGTCGCGCGAGCACCGTTACTGACGTCACAGGCTGTCATCGCTTGGAACGAGTAACCATCCACACCCACAACCCCATCTTGAACGCATGCATTGAGAGAAATCGTAGACCAAGTCCGAGGACGAATGCATTTAGAGGCCCCTGTGCTCTTGTCTTGTTTTGACTATGACAGTTGCACATGGTCAAGGCAGTGGTTGTTGGTAGGGATGGGTGGGAAGGGGGGTGAGTGCCGGAATGGGTGAAATTTCCTTATGAGGTAACAGGGACGGGGGTGAATGCCGTTGTAATGAAGTCTGATTCAGACGATACGAAGATATCATTCGAGGACGACGTCCCAAAATGCGCTGCCTCAAGCCCCGCTGGGCCCGTCGACTGGGCAGACCTTTCCTCTCTCAGGCTAGAAGCCTCTGAGGCGGCAACATACATGCCTGGCGAGCGACTGCGGCGCCGAATATATCCTGATTCCTGATGTTGTATCGCCGTGGCCTGTTGCCTCACTGTTCCTGTTGCACCTTGTCTTTGTCCCGCCCTTCAGTCGTCAGGCCCCACACCGGGCACCCCCCTCACCCACCACCGAACATCAACCCCGTCGACGGCCTTGACTTTTCTCCTTTGCCCAATATACCACACCCACCACCCCGACAACCATGAACGACTACCACATAAGGACGTTTACATGGGGTGCCGGCCCGCAGAAGGTGAGTCGCCCCCTTACGCCCTTTACCCGGCGTGGATGGCTGGCATCGACTGCATACAGCACCTGCCGAGTGCGATTGCCGTACAACACTCGGTGCGGCTGTTTGCATGTGCGGAGCCAGCATGCGGACAACGCACTCCAAGTCCAGGCGACCAGGCGACCGCGTCGTGCATGGTGCCTAGTCGCTTGCACCCAGGTTGTCGGCCGCGTTGCGTAAACAACTCGGCTACCAGTAACTTAAACACACGACCTCGAAAAAAGCCAACGACGTCACCGGGCGATAGCTGACAAACAGGTCTTCGTTGCCGGAGGCTTCAACAACTGGTCCGAGACCGCGACCCCGCTCGAGATGCAGGAGGACGGCACGTTCCTCGTTGACGTCCCGCTCCCGTGGGGCGAGCGCCAGGCGTACAAGTACGTCCTCGACGGCGAGTGGATGGTCCGCGAGGACGAGGACAAGGAGTGGGGTGAGTTGCGAACGCGCGGGCGTGGTTGCGTACGGAGCTGACGGATCGCAGACCCCTCTGGAAACGTGAACAACGTGAGTTGGACCGACACGAAACGGACGCCGATCGCGACACGCTGCTCCGGGTGACTCGGTGACACACGAGCGATGTCTGGGACACCCGGGGCGCACGGCCTGCCGCGACCGGAGGGCTCGAGTGCGACGCGAGTCATGGCGATCCGACGCCCGAGACACGAACCAGCTGACAGTCAGGTTTACCAGGCCCCGCCCAAGCCGACGGGCACGGCCGCCGCCAGCGAGGCGCCCAAGGGAACAGCGCAGCCCATGACCGATGACCGATCGACGGACGCTGCTGCGGTGCCAACAGACACCACTGCCGCCCCCGTCTCGACTGGAGCAACTGCCCAGCCTGCCGTCTCCCAGACGCAGTCCACGGGACTTTCGACGGGCGACAAGGCCGCGATCGGTGCCGGAGCCGCTCTCGCCGGAGGAGCCGGCGCTGCTGCCGCGGCTAACTCGACGACAAGCGAGGCCAAGAAGAAGAAGAACAAGAAGAAGAACGAGAAGAAGAAGGCCAAGAAGAAGGCGGAGCGCGCCGCCGCCCAGGCTGCCGGCGGAGCTGCTCCGGTCGACGGTGACGACGACGATGAGGATGACGACGACGAGGGCTCTGCCTTTACCGGCACCACGACGCCGGCGACCACCTCTGCCTTCGCGACCCCGGCCCTGGACACCTCAAATCAGCTCGGACACGATGTGCCTGTGACTACCCAGTCGACTACCCAGGGCGTCGACCCTTCGGCTCGTACCCTTGACTCGGAGCTTCAGCCTGTCAAGGAGACTGAGTCGACCGCCCCCGTCGCCCTGATCAAGGACGAGACCCCTCCCGTCGCGCTGATCGAGGACGAGCCCAAGCCTGTCGCGCTCATCACCGACGAGACCCCTGCTCCCGCTGGTCTCATTACCGACGAGCAGCCTGCTCCCGCCGGTCTCATCACTGACGAGACCGCTCCTGCCGCGACGTCCGCGCCCCCCACCGACTCGTCTGCGACTGCCGCGCCGATCACCGACTCTGCCGTCCCCACCGAGGCCGTTAAGCCGCCCACCACCGCGCAGGTCGACCAGCCGGATCAGGTCCTCGTCGCCGAGTACGACTCCAGGGACCCCTCGCGCAACTTTGACACTGGCTTCTCGGGAGCTGCTATCGGCACTGCCGCTGCTGGCGCCGCCGCCGTTGGGGCCGGTACCGCCTACGCTGCCAACAAGTCCTCGCAGTCCGACGAGCAGGCCCGCGCCCAGGCTGCCGCCAGCAACCCCTCCGTCGCGGCGTTCCGCGAGGCGTCGCACGAGGACGACGTCGCGTCCGCCCAGACCTACGTCAAGCGCGAGCAGGAGGGTGTCGTCACCAAGACCACGACGGTGACCGAGATCGTCTACGACCACGGTGACAGCTACGGAGACAGCACCGAGGCGCTCGTCGAGAAGCGCGAGCCCTCCACCCTCCGCGGCCAGACCGAGGTCTCGACCGCTGTCGACAGCGCCGACATCTCTGCCGCCGATGGAACTCACCTCGGCCAGCAGGTCACCGTCAACCGCGTCGCCGACACGCAGGTGCTCGGCGACTCGGGCGAGCAGGTCGGCCGCCAGGCCGACGTCTCCCAGGTCACTGCTACCCAGCTCCAGAACCCGGACGGCAGCCCCGTCGCCGACCACATTCAGGGCACCAACGTCGAGGCCTTCAAGCCTGCGGACACCCACGAGCATGAGACCATCTCGCACAGGGCCGCCGGCGCCGTCGCCGGTGCTGCTGCTGGCGTCGCTGCCCTCGGCGGTGCCGCCTTCGCTGCCGTTAAGAACGCCACCGGCGTCGACATTGCCCCCGAGGCTGCTCCTGTAAGTCTAGTTGTGGCAGGGTCTGTATGAGCTGACATCAGGTCTCGATCGAGGAGGCCAAGCGCCGCGGTATTGACGTGGAGCACCTTCCCCAGGTCGAGGGACCGAGCGACGCTGTCTCGCCTGTCGGCACCCACCCGCCTGAGGGTGCCGTCAACCAGCTCCAGGAGATGATCGACGGGCTCAAGCACCCTCAGTCTGTGCCTCCCACCGACGGCGCCGCCATCATCGCCGGCTCGCAGACCACTGTCCCCGCCTCGGCTGCTACGGCCGCCCCCATCGACGCTTCCCGCTCTCAGGCTGTTCCTGCCGGTTCCGTCGCGACCCCCACCTCGGAGACTACCTCGCAGGGTGCCGCTGTCGCTGCTCCCGTCGCTGGCACCGCTGCCGCCGTTGGTGCGACCACCGTCCCCACCGGCTCGCAGCAGCAGGTTCCCTACACTGGTGGCTCGCTTTCTCCCGAGACCTCGGTCAAGAAGGACACCACCTCTTCCGGTGCCGTCGGCACTGGCACCCAGGCCCAGTCCGCGCAGGGCGCTGACCCGACTCAGACCGTCCACGGTCTTGGCAACCAGTCCTCGTCTGCCCAGGGCCCTGCCACTACCGTTCACGGTGCTGGCGCCGGTTACACTGGCGACGAGACCATCTCGCGCTCTGTGCCCGGCCAGACTGGCTCGACCGGCACCGCTGCCGCCGCCAGCACTTCCACCACTGGTGCCGCTTCTCAGCCCGCCCAGGCCGCTCACCACCCTGACCCCACGTTCTCGAAGACTACGTACGACCCGAACGCGCCGTCGCACACCCGCACCGAGATCATTGGTGCGGCTGCTGCCGGCGCCGCTGCTACTGGAGCTTCCGTCGCCGGCGCCTCCTCCTCAGGCTCGCACAACTACGCCGCGGCCACGCGCAGCAACGACGGCAAGAGCCAGGACCAGCGCAAGAAGTACGACCTTGAGGACGAGATCACTGGCAAGACCTCGGGTAGGGACCTGACCTTCAACCCTGCTACCAGCTACGACCAGAACCAGCACAGCACCATCCCGAACATGGACGGTCAGAGCAAGTCTTCTGAGACCTCTGGCACCAAGGCTGGTGACGCGCCCAACGGCGGCAAGGGCTTCAACGGCGCTTCCCGCCAGCAGTCTTCGAACGTCTCGGACAGCCAGCCCCCCATTGGTGTCAACAACAAGGACCGTTCGCCTCACGACGGCGAGGACCTCGAGCCCCGCCCTCCCACTGGCACCTACGGCAACCCCACCAACCAGCCCCAGGTCAAGGCCGAGGTGTTCCGTGCCCAGGACACGGACATTCCCAGCCAGCGCCAGGCCGCCGCGGCCAACAACCGCACCGTCCCCGCGCCGACGATCAAGCCCATCAAGGGCCCCGTCACTACCTCCTCGACCGGTCACGGTGCCGGCGGCACGGCCCAGCTCTTCTCGAGCCAGGACCGCAACGTCATGGCGCACCAGCGCGCGCTCGAGGAGGCCGAGGCCAAGGGCGAGACGTCCAAGAACCTCTCGGCCGACGACGCCATGGCCGGTCTCTCGAAGCCTCTGAGCAACACTTCGGACCAGAAGCCCCACGCCCCCACCGAGGCCAAGGTCGGCCACTCTGGCGCCGGCTTCAACGAGAACCCCGGTGCCACTGAGGCGCAGAAGCACCCCGGTCTTACGCACCAGGCCCAGCAGCAGTCTGGCGCGCACACTGGTGTCGGTGCCGTCGGTTCGACCCACAGCGGCCAGTCCCAGCCCTCGCAGTACTCTGGCCAGCAGCAGTACCCCGGCTCGACCACTGCCGGTACCACTGCTCCCATCTCGCAGCAGACGTCGCACCAGACCCAGGGCAGCACCGTCGACGCTGCGGGCAACATCCGCTCGCCCACCGGTGAGGTCGTCGGCTCGACGACCAACAACGCCGGCGGCGAGGTCGGCACTGACGCCCCTCAGCGCGCCGCTGTTTCGAGCAACGTCGCGACCGGCGCCGCTGCCGGTGGTCTCGCCGGAGTCGTCGGCCTGGCCGCTAAGAACGTTGCCGACGGTGTCAACACCTCTGCTGCCGGTGTCCAGTCTGGTGTCAACTCTGGCGTCTCGGGCGTCCAGTCCGGTGTCGCTGGTGTCCAGTCTGGCTCCACCGCTGGTCTGACCGGTGCGCGTGACAGCGTCACCTCTGGCATTGCCGGTGTCAACTCGTCGCTCCAGCAGGGCCGCGACAGCGTCGCTGCCAGCACGACGGGCGTTAAGAGCGGTGTCGTCGGTGCCACTCCTGACGGCCGCACCCAGCTCGGTGCCGGCAGCCCGCAGACGCCCGCTCCCCCCGCGCCGTCGACGAGCACTACCACTGCGTCTAACACGACCCAGGGTGGCTTAGCCCCGCCGCACCACCACCACCACCACGACAAGGAGAAGCGCTCCGGCAGCTTCTCGAAGCGTTTCAGCTCGCTCGGTTTCGGCAAGCGCTCCTCGGTCGCCCACGAGGGTAAGGACGAGTCGTACGCTGCCTCGCAGCGGCCAGCGTCTAACGTCCCTGCCGCCGCTACGCAGGTGCAGCACAACCCCTCGACGGGTGCCACTGCCGTGCAGAAGACTGCGGTCGACTCGCAGGGCAACGTCGCGCAGCACACGACCGTCGCTCAGCCCACCACTGCCAGTAACGCCGGCACCGTCGGCCGCACCGGTGCCACCGAGAGCGCCGCCGGCAGCGAGTTTGGCACCGTCGGCAAGCAGCACGGCAGCGCCATCACGAGCAGCACGGCGACGCAGGTGCCTTCGCAGTCTGTTGGAGCTGCTGGCGGAAGCGACTTCCTTAACAAGGACCCGGCGGTGGCCCAGCAGCACCCGCAGGTCAAGAAGAAGAAGAGCGGCTTCTTCTCCAAGCTCAAGCACGCCTTCAGCCACAAGGGATAAGTCCCCTATAGAGTGACCCGTTTGAACGTTTCTGCCCCGACTGCCTCTGGTCGTTGGGACTCTGCTTTTCCTCTTTTTGCTCAACTTCTTGAAACCACAACCATCTCTCCTAGCCGCGATAATCAGATACCGTACCTGCACCCGCAGCCACTAATATAGCCATACAGCGCCCTGGATCGGGCTGGTACAGAATATGAATGGAATGAACATTGCGCCGAGCACGGGTCACGACGAGCGACGTCGCCATCGTAAGCAGGCTGTCATCGCGGATGTTCAGACACAGCTGAGGCGCGCGACGCCGGCGCGAACGCCCGCCCACACAGACAAGCAGATTCTGGAAAGTCGGGACGGGAACGGGTATCCGAGGTTGGAGGAAGCTCTTGCTAGATTCAACGTTTCCCACGAGTGCTTTCCCTCCGGCCTACACATGAGCACGACACTCTACACACCACACACACCGCGTTCAAGTCGAGGCCCGTACAGACCTCGAGGTTGGAGGAAGCCTTTGCTAGTTTCAACGTCTCCCACGGTCTCCCTACCTGTCCGGCGGCCGTGGTCGGACCAAACGAAGACGTCGACGTGCCGAGATGCCGTGTAGGCCTCACCCCATGGACCAACGGAAGTCACCGCACACGCCGCAACATGAAATGATGAGGGCAAGCTCGCGGCGGTCAGACACAGAGGTACAGGCGTACCGTGGAGTTCTACCGATACATTCTTTCTGTCCGAGCTCTCTTCTGCCCAGGTACAAGGAAGCCGTGGTAAGTGTCACAGGTACGACGCGGGAGCTCGAGCAGTTCGGTTCCTCGGCGCCAACCTACTGCGCCAAAGTACTGCGCCATCTGTGTCAGTGCCAGAGGGCCATGATGCGGGCCAAGGCTGCGCCGCACGCTACGTGCGCTGTAGGAGGACACTGCACAATGATGGCCGCCGCAGATCACCGCACGCCGCCAACTGTGCCCACATTGATACATTGCCCACCTCTTCAGCTCGTCGGCGCGCCGGTACTGACGCCAGCGCCAGCCCTCGATTCAGTACACGAGACAAGACCTGTGTCACCGACTGCCACTGCCACGGGCAGGCGGTCAGGCGGGCCGCTCTACTCGGCTGCCACTGGCTTCTTCCCTATCTTTGAGCTCTGCAAGTTTTGCTCTGCATGCACCACTGCACTGGTACCCCAGTGGACCAGTGAGCTTTCCAATCGCACGGCGTCTGAGGAATGCGCCGCCTACGCCTGAGCGCCCGTGGCACCGTGGCACCGGTGCCACCGTGCCATGGCGCTCGCCCTTCTCACCAGAACCAGGGGGGTTGGGAGGCTGAATGACGGGACTGGGGGATCTTCAGGCCCCGATGTGGCCGAGTGCCGGCATACACATCGTGAGCTCGGTCAGAGGCGTCGATGATCTACAGACTGCGGGCAAGGATTGCGACAGCATTTGCCTGGAGTGCGCTGCTTTGGGGACGAGTATTGACAGCAGGAGAGACAGGGGGACAGAAGAAATTTGCAGATGTGGCGCTGAGTGTAACGTACGAGGCGTTTTGGGCTCGGCCCCTGGTCGTCGTCTTCTGCTTCTGCCGCCAGTCTCGGCAGGTACGAAGCCGATGCCTGGGCCCGGATTCACGGTCAAATGGCGCAGCAGACGCAGCAGCGCACATACGTGAGCCGTCGCAGAGACTCGTCTAACCCTTCGCCGGCGCTCCGGCCTTCCGAGTTGGCTTGTGCCGACCTAACCCCCCCCAGCCAGCCGTGCCGAGCGGGCCGGAGACCAGAGCACGGAGCGGCCGCCGAGGGAATAGGGGGAATGGAAACGCCTGAAAACGTCGTGTCTGAGGTTCAAGACGTTCATGTTCAGGCCGACTTTCAGGCGAATTTTGCTTCCTGGAATTACGGGGGTAGGGTTTCCGGACGCCACCAGGATGACCCCGCCAGGGACATAGGGCCGGCTTCCATTTCCACCCAATTTCCAGCAAACCGGCTCCGCCGCTCTTCACCGTTGTAACAGCGCTGAATGCTGCTCGGGGGACATTTCCGTTACCCCCCTCCGCGAGCAGTGATTCGGCCGAATGCCTTGTCGGGCTTGTCAGTACGGCAAAGTCCGGCATACCCCCCGGCGTGCAGATCTGCTCGCTGTTTCTCGGTGATCGCATTCCCTGTTACTCGGCGTGCCGATAGTCCAAGCAGGTGCGGTCGTTTTGCAGCAGAGGAGGCCACGACGATTTCTGGAACGGCGTGACCGAGCCAAAGTCCTGCGAGGCAGACCAAACCCACGCCATTGTGAGCCAAACTCGCCTCCCGCCAGGTCCATCAATGGAGCCAAGCGCGCTTGGAGCAGGCGTGACCGAGGGTATTAGCAATACGTCCGTCATCACTGCGTTCTAGCATCTCAGCTGGCGCTGAGTCTAGCGTCCAAACCGCTTTCAGAACGGGTCAAATAGGTTTACAAGCCAGGTTTGATAGGTCATGCGGGAGCGGGGCTGGCAGAGCCTGGGCGCGCGAATGGATTGAATCAGATCAGCGAACAAACCTTGTCTGCACCTTATGCAATTCAGCCCTTCCTTCGGTGTCACGCGCGCATCGCCTCGGTACAAAAGGTATCTGGTTGCGTTCCTCGTCTGCTGCTGCTTGACATGCGCGATTTTTGGTGTTGCCATACCGGACAATGCAGAGAGAGAAAGTCAAAGGAAGTCGAGGATTGCAGATAGACGGATAGTCACCCGCCAAGCGCAGCAGGTCTCGGGGTCCGGTCCGCGGTCCGCCTCAGAATTTCTGGGTCGGGGAGCTCGGTCACCATGAGGGGAACAGGGAACGCACAGCGGAAGGAAGACTTTGGGCCATTTCAGCGTCTCACTTTACCATCAATAGACGTGCGTACCGTGTCTCACCACGCAGCAGATGGCACACGCAGACGCCGTGCGTTCCCTTCGTCTTCTGCTCGACGCTATGCAGATTTCTATTTCCGGGGGCGAACGACGACAAGATGATCGCATGATCGAGGAGGCGAGCGGGGAGCCGTGCGCAGTTCTTGATTGGGCTCCACACCCCGCTGCGTTGCTCTGCTGCATGTCCTGCGTGTACGCCAGCATTCCTGCACTGCAAACGAGTGATCGATTTCGAATCCTTCTCCACGGGCTCCGAGCTCCAAGATTAACGAGAGTACGCAGTACCTGTGCACCGGATGGTGCAAACTTGATTCGGAATCACGCTCCAGCATAGACGTCAGCTGGGCTGTCTGGTTAGCCAGGTCATGAAGCTTGCTTGCTTGCTTGCTTGCAAGCAGAGCAGTGAGGGACGGGAAGGCACGATTCAGTCATATCCTTAGCGCCAGCGCTGCCACCGTCCCCTGGAACCCCGATGGCTTCTCCCCTTGCCCTGTCCAGTCCCTGGGAACGAGTTCAAGCTTTCAGCATCCTCGTTCGTTTGCTGGTGTCTGGAGTATTTTGGTGCATGTCCACCTCTACGCCATGCAAACTCTGCGTTGATTCCGACATTGGCGTCCTGCGCTAATCGCATTTGTTCGGGCTCCGACAAACAGCTAACCCCAAGGGGCCAGTGGCACACGAATAGTATGCTGACGTTAGACAAATGCTGACGTTTGGCATTTACTGGGAAGGGGAAAGACTAAGCATGGTGTGCAGAGCGAGTTCGTGATGAGTGAGTAGTGGGGTCTCGAGCTGAGCGTCACGAGGGCGAGCATGCAGGCGAGGTGCTGAGCCGCGGCTGCGCGGAGAGAAGCATAGGAAGATACGGAGAGATCTTGGGAATGTAGACCTACCGCCGGCGAAAAGCTGAGCACCACTGGCTGGAGAGGGCGGGGATGGGACGGGGGGGCGGACACATCCGGGGGCTTTCACGGGGCTTTCAGCGGGCCGCTTGGCAGAGTCCTGGCTGGGCATGGCTTGGGCAGAGGAGAACCTGAGCCCAGTCCTGGTCGACTCAGGAAGGCGAGGGAGGGAGGATCTGGTATCGCTCCTTGATCCTGAGCGGCCTGCAGGGCCCCTGGAAGCCCGCGCTTCAGATCCCACAGTCGAGCAACAGCCCAGAGCATGCAGAGCAGAGAAACGCTGCCGTTGAAATGCTCCAGCACCGAACGCTGGAACAGGTCTAGGACTCGATCCTGCCCAAGGTCATGACCGAGCTCCAGCAGCGCGTCGCATTGTAGGCTCAGCCCGACCGTATCCACCGCGACCACAGTCATCTTGCTCTTCGTCACTTCATCTTTGCTTCTTGCTGTCTCCCTAACACGTAACTCTCCGGACTCCGACGCACCAACCACTTCTTCGTCTTCGATCCCTTCCGCCTCCCTCTCTCGCACCCACCCATTCCCATCTTTCGGGTCGTCGTTGCCTCTTCAACCCATCCCACAACTCGGCCATCTCGTAATCACCCCTCATCACACATCATCCGCTCCTGCACACCTCCGCCATCCCTTTCCCACCATTACGACACTCTGTCAACCCCGCACCAGCTGGCCAACAGGAGTGCTTTCGACGATAGGCTAATGCGCATCCGGCGAGCGTAGACGACCCCTCTATCAGCTTTCCGCGCCCATCGCCTTGTTGTTCTCGAAGCTCTGCACAATTCTTGAACACTTCCGTTCCACAAAAGCACACCCTCCCGCGCACCCTTCCCCCTGAAGCTAATATCCACTCTTGACATACCCACCAACCCGTTCCACAGGTCCCACAGATCCAAAGTTCATGATCGCGCGCCCGACCCGTAGTACACAAAAGACCCGACACCTCGGCATACCATCAAGCTGTCTTACACCCTAAACACAATCCGCAAGCCAACCGTATAGCGCGAGACAGCGAAGACAGCTGTCCCGCTGCATAGCATGGATGGCGAACGACCGTCAACGAGACGAGGTCGTCCGCCGCCGCCGATAGCGCTCGCGCCCTTGCCAACGCGCTTCGGCGGTGCCGGCCAGCCATCGTCGATCGTTGAGCACGACGAGGAAGAGGGCCCACACCACACCTCCAGCCCACTAAGCCGTTCCCACGACAACACACCCCGCCCCATCCGACCACACGACGACGACGAAGACGTAGACGGCGTCTTTGCGTTTGCGCGACCACCGACGTCCGACGCTCCGCCGATACACCAGTATCCGCCCGGCCTGCAACGCCATGACGACGGTGGAGATGGAGTCTTTGCTTTCGCGCCGCCAGCCTCTCCGTGGCCTCCCGCCTCGCTTCCCTCGTCGCGGGACGGCAGCAGTGCGGGCGGCAGCAGCGGGCAGCACCGCCCGTCGACCGCCCGTCCCTCCACTCGCTCCATGACTTCTCTGCAATACCCGCAAGGCTTGCAGCGCCTCGACAGTGTCGACGCAGGAACATTTGCCTTCTCGTCACCGACGACATCGGAAGCGCGTCACCTCACGACACCGGGAGAAGAGGGGGCGTCGTCATACAACTCGCACCGCCCGCTGCGGCCAACGCGCGACGACGAAGAGGACACTGACGGCGTCTTCGCCTTCTCGAACCCGTCATTGCCAGAGGAGCAGCAGTATCACGCCAGTCGCAGCCACGACTCTTCCTTAGCTGACTATGCGAACCCATACGCCCCGCCAGAGTCATCGACAGCCAACCCCTGGACGAACGCCGGCCAGCAGGCACCCATCCCTTACTCTGTCCCGGAGGAAGGCACCTTCGCGTTCGCGACGCCCGAGGAGGCATACATCCCGAGTGATCGGCTCACCGTCGGACAACCGGTGCCATTGCCAGGAAACTCGGACTCCACCTTTGGCAACAATGCCGACACCCTCAGCAAGCGGAACACCGCTGTCGACGTTGAGCTGGGACAGCCTATCGGGTCGCCGACGACAACGGCGTACCAGCATTCGACAGTACGGGAGCCGCTGCTCGAGCCGAATCTGAACCGCTCTGCTTTCAGAGATTGGCGCTACGATACTCCGCCAGAGGAGAGTGGCTTGCGCCGGCGCCACGTTTATCCTCCGCCACCAGCTGACGTTGCCAGCGTGAAGCCGACCGACCCGCAAGCGAGCGGCGACAAGCTCGACCAGCTAGACCAGAATAATGATTCTCGCCCCGTGCTGCTGAAGCGCCCAAAGACGGCGTACACCGAAGCTACAGAGCGAACGGAGCAGACGGTCCCGCACGGCGTCACGACGTGGGGCGACGGCATCGGTGGCGAGCTGAATACGAGTATCAGCCCGCGTTCGTCCTTTGACGAGGACAGCCCGTACCCTGAGGTGCGCGCGGCCGTGTCGAACCTGGACGACCCGGAGATGCCGGCCCTCACGTTCCGCGTGTTCTTCATCGGCATTCTCATGACGATGATTCGCGCCGCACTCAACACGTTCTTCCGCCTGCGCCCACCCGCACCGTATATTGCGCCGACGCTCGTGTGTTTCTTCGCGTACCCGTTCGGCCAGCTGCTGGCGTGGATCCTGCCGATCGGCGAGTGGAAGCTGCCAAAGTGGCTCGGCGGGTTCACGTTCGACCTGAATCCGTGCTCGTTTAACATCAAGGAGCACTCTTTGATTGTGGCGATGAGTGACATTGGCGGCAATGTGTGCGGCGTCGTCATCTCGATCGCGACATTGAAGCGCAACTACCACATCAGTCACAACGCAATGTTCACGATCTTGCTCTGTATCGTGACGCAGGCAACGGGCTCCGCATTTGCGTACCTGCTGCAGAGGAGCGCGGTCCAATCTGCGTCACTCCTCTGGCCCGAACTGCTCGGCACGACGACTCTGCTGAATACGCTACATGCGGATAGCTCGGACGGCAGGGGCATCAGCCGCAAGAGGTTCTTCGGGCTATCGGCCCTCGGCATGTTCCTGTACACCCCAATTCCGGCGCGGCTGTTCTCAGCAATGGCGTTCCCAGACTTCCCGACGTGGATTGCGCCTCACAACATTACGGTGAACCAAGTCTTTGGCGTCGCGACCGGCATGGGTCTCTTTCCCGTGACACTCGACTATACGCAAGTCATGAAGATGGCGACCCCGTTCTACATCCCATGGTTGACGGCGCTGAACATCTTCCTCGGCTGGTCGCTGTTCTACTGCATGATCGCTCCCGCGCTGTACTACACCAACAAGTGGTTCACGGGGTATATGCCAATGTCGAGCTCGCGCATTGCCGACCGCTTCGGGATGCCCTACAACGTTACCCGCGTGCTGCAGGGCGACAGGTTGAACGAGGAGGCGTACCACGCCTACTCGCCGATCTACTTTGCGGCATCGTACCACGCAACCCACCTCATGGCCTTTGGCGTTGCGACAAGTGTCCTGACGCATTTCGCAGTGCACCACGGAGCGCACTTCTGGCGCTGCCTTCGCAAGAAGGGCGACGAGGAGCCGCCCGATGTGCACGCCAAGATGATGCGTGCGTACAAGGGTATTCCCGGTTGGTGGTTTGGCGTTCTGCTCCTCGTATGCTTTGTGTGTGGCATCATCGGCGTGGAGGTGTACGACACGGAGCTGCCCGTGTGGGGTGTCGTGCTTGGTCTGATTCTCGGCGCGCTCTTCGCGATCCCCTCCACCTTCATGGCAGGAGTGACGACCTTTACGCCGCCCACGAACGTGATCTACGAGCTCGTCGCGGGCTTCCTGTGGCCCGGACGACCGATCCCGCTGCTCCTCTTCAAGTCCCTGGGGTTGCAGACCGTCCACGCCACGGTCGGCTTCACGCGCGGCCTCAAGCTCGGGCACTACATGAAGGTGCCCCCGCAGGACCTGTTCATCGTGCAAGTCATCGGTCTCATCGTGTGCGTCCTCGTGAACGCGGGCATGCTGGCGTGGGTTCCTCCCTGCGACCAGTGCACGTTCACGACGGCCGACTATTCTGCATCGGTGATCTGGGGCGTGATCGGTCCCCGCCGCCTCTTCGCCGCCGGAGCACCATACAGTTCCCAGCTGTGGGTACTGCTCGCCGGCGCCCTCCTCCCCTTGGTCCTGTACTATGCGCGCCGCCGCGCCGCCGTCCTCACCCACCTCCCCGGTGTCAGTGCGCCCTGCCTCGCCTCGGTCCTCAACGCGCTCGGCGCCATCAACGTTCCTCTCATGCTCTCCAGCGCCTACTTCTGGCCCACGGTCAGCTTCATGCACGTTGCGACCTTCACTGCGATCGTGTTTGGCGCAAACTACTACACGCGCCGAAGACACACGCGCTGGTGGATCAAGTACAACTATGTCCTTGGCGCCGGGCTCGGCGTCGGCTGTGTGCTCGCGCAGATCCTGTGTTACCTCGTCTTTGACGTGAAGGAGATCAGCGTCAATTGGTGGGGCAACAATGTGTGGCAGAACACGGCGGATTACAATGGCACGGCGGTATCGAGGAGGGCCCCGAAGGCTGGTTTCGGACCGAGTGTCTTCCCCTAGTCGCCTCGATCATCTTCAGCAAACTTCATCTCATAAACCTATCTTGACATTCCGACTTTTACATTCTTGGGCTCTCGGTCTTGTGTATAGCTTACTCTCATCAATGTACCACTATGCATTCTCATTCCCAACGAAGCGGCTTTACTGTGTCTAGTTCACAATCGGTGTTCAAGTGTTTCTAGTCTAGGCTAACGTACTGATTCGGCTTATTGACGTGTAACGTGAGAGCGGGGGTGGGTCGACGTGCAGCACAATGTCTGCGTGGGTCTTGGCAGTGGGTCCAGCGGGCTCTAGGGCGAGCTCGACGGAGGAGCCGGGGGATGGTGTGGCCGAGGAAGGTGAACTGTGGGAGGGTGATGAGGCTGTGGCATAGGCTGCGGCTGGGGAGGTTGCCTGGGCTGCGGGGCTTGGGGCGAGGTTTGGGGTACCTCAGCGATCTGCGACGACTGACTCGAATTCGTCTGCCAGAACTTGAGCTGCCTGGACTTGGGCTCATCCTGCAGCTGGCTGCCCCGAGTGTGTTGTTGGGACTTAGGTTCAGGCGGGGAAGTTTGCGCATCACGGTACTCCGCCGAGCTCTGGGAGGATGTCTGCTGGGCAGCCCGAGGTATCAGAAGACCGGGCTTGTCGAGTGCAGCGTGGAGGTGAAGCGCAGCGACAGACAGGTGCGCCAGCGGACTGTTCGAGACATGGGACACAGAATCCAGCGGAGAAGGAGGGCGGAGGGGTGGAGGTGTCTGCTCCTTCCGGCGAACGCGCGCTGGCATGTGCACCGCTGAGCTCGACGGGGCGTGAACGGAAGAGTGCTCTGGGGTGATTTCCGCGGAAAGCGCCTGGGTTTGTGACATCAATATCGAGGCTTGAGCCGGCGGCGCCGGGGATGGCGTCACTGGGAGCGAGGGCAGTGTATGTGTCGATGGCGCTTCAGCCGCTGGTTCTGGCGCAGGTGGTGTTTGGAACGGAAGATCTTGAAGCACCGGTGCATCGTCGACTAGAGGAGCCGGCAGGTGCACTACCTGCGCTTCCGGGGCCCTTGACGGGGGGTACAGAGACGCCGGAGCCGGCGCAGCAGGACCCATTGCCTCCATCGCTTGCGGTGCCGGGAGTTGCACGAGTTGCGGAGCGAGGTCCTCCACAGCCAAGCTTCCTGTCCCCATTGCTTGCGGGGGCGGAAGTTGCACGGACTGCAGCGCGAGACCTTCCACAGCCGTGTTTTCAGTCACCATTGGAGGCTCTAGAAGCTGCAGAGGTTGCGCAGGGGCTTGTGCTGCTGGGACCTCCGTCGCTCCAAGTTGCGACACAAAAGCAAGTGCCGCCGTAGCTTGAGACTGCGCCGCAGCCGCAACGGAGTCCGGAAGAAGCGGATCGGCACCGTGGGGCGCAGCGGGAAGCACAACAGGGAGTGCCGCATCTGCCAGAAGTGAGAGCCCGGGCCATGGACCGAGAGCTGGAGGCGGTCGCCAACTCTACTGCTGACCTTCGAGGGCTGACCCCATTGGCAACGCGGGGTTCACTGCACGATACAGCACCAGGTCTGGCACGGGCGGAGGAGTGACAGCCGGCGGAGGTGGCATGGGCAGATCTGGCACAACGAAAGAGGGACGGTGCCACTCGCCTGCCGCAGGGGTATCAGCAAAGCGCACGGACTTGCCGCTGGAGCGTGGCGTGTTGGCCACGCGCGTCGAGGCCTGAGCAGGTGTCACTGGTGCGGTGATGGTTGGCGGCTGAGGAGGCGTCACATTGATTGGGGGCAAGAGAAAGCTCAACATGTCCCCGGTCGCTTCTGCTGAAGTCGTTTGCAAGGGTGTAGTGGCGATTGAGGACGCTGCCCCAACAGGAGCGTCAGCGACAGCTGGAGGGGTGACTGCCTCAATGCGCTCAAGGCTCATGCCCTCAGGCTGCTCAGGCTCTCCAGTCTCATCCGCCTCGATGTACTCGACCTCAAGGCTCCTGCCCTCAGGCAGCTCAAGCTCTTCAATTTCGTTAGCCTCGATGTACTCGACCTCCCTTGCTTGTCCAGAGGCACCCTACTGCGCTCCGGGTCCCTGAACGCCTGCGTGATTGACGGCGGGTGCTGGACCAAGGAAATCGAACGCATCGCGCATGTCGAGTGGCCAATCGGTCGTGAGGAGGTCGAGAGGGAGGTCGAATAAGTTGCCAGGAATGATCTGCTCCTCCTGCTTCTGCGGTTCTTCTGTCGTGCGCACACTGCTATCACCCCCAGACCCGACACCTGGCGTATTCGGATACTGCCAGGCGCTGGGCGGCAGGGCTGTGTGCCAGACCTGGGCGCGACGGCTGCGGTCGACAGCCGCAGCAGTCATGTACTGGTCAATACGCTTGACGTGGTCGCGCAGCTTCTCCGCAATGCCGGGCGTGAAGCTCATCGTGGACTCGAGAGACGAGAGCAAGTCCGCCATAGCCAGCAGCACGTTGCGCACCTGCAGGTACGTCCAGTGACTTAAGGGCGTCTGGATAACGGAGCCGAGAAGGTGACCCACGCCTGCCAGGTGATGCAGGATGGGCGAGCTAATCGCCTGGATGTACGCTGTCGGAACGGTCGAGAGCGCGTCGAGAAGCTCGCCTGCAATCGCACATCGCTTCTCCACGCTCGCATCCTCCAGACCAGTCATCACCATCTTCACCGTCTGCATGGTCACAATGATGTCGGCCGCCTGGAATCCAAAGCGGTCCTCGTAAACGTTACCGGTCATGGCCTGTGCGCCCTTGAACTCCATTGGCAGCTGATTGTAGTCCTCCTGGATAGTGTCAAGCACCTCCTTGCTGCTTGGGAAGGAGGAGTTGAGTCGCGTCAGGGAGAACAGGCGCCGGTTAACTTGCGAGTCGGTTGGCTCTAGCTTGCGCTGCCGGAGCAAGCCGAGCGCGTGTTCCAGAATGCGGTACAGATCGTTTGTGAAGTTCCAGCCGCGGAGGAAGGACACGCCTGCCGGCTTAGCGATACCGGTCTCGGTGATCTCCGAGTCGTCCCACACTTCTGCAGGGTAGAGAACGTTCGCCTGCGTCTCGCGATGACGAACGATGCCTCCCCACGTGCACGCTGCGTAGACATCGATGGAGTACACGCCCCAGAACACACGCCGGCGCTCCTCGATCTCGGTCACCGGTAGATTTGGCGGCCAGCGATTCTCATTATGGAAGCCGTCGGCGGCACACATAGTCAGGTAGTCACCGAGGTGGACGGAGAGCTGCCTGACCTGACCGTACTGCAGACTGAGAATAGCAAGGATCGCCTTGGCGCGCTTGTAGTCGAAGTCCGTGGCGACCGTGAGATCGGCGGGGAAGGCCGACAGAGAGGCGTCGAAGAAGGCCTCGGATGGCGGCGCATCAGGGGGAAGGGGAGTACCCACGCCGTCACGCATGCGAGCCGAAGTGATCGCGCAAACGGCCATGACAAAGGCGAAGAAGGCACGGTCGCGCTCATAGTGACGGGCGCGGACGCGGGCGGAGAACGTGGGCCAGTGGAAGTACGGCAGGATCGGGTACACGACACGGTAGAAGGTCGACGCAAGCATGTCCACGAGGTCTGGTGTGCCAACCGCCTGGTACTCCCACTCTCGGGCCTCACCTCCGAGGGCCCCGTTCTGGCTCCCCGGACCGTGAGGTGTCGGTTGTCCAGATGCCGAGTGGCCACTCTGTGAGGATGGCTTGGCACCACCCTTCGGTACGGGCTGTTGTTGTCAGTCATGGGACTCGTTAGGGGATCAACAATGCCAGATCCGGGCCAGATCCACAGTAAATCCTCGGAGGGAAGGTGGGCTCCGCCGCTCGGACGACGATCCCTTCCTCCTCCCCGAAAGATCGGTGGAGCCCCCCGGCATGCAACACTTACCCCTCTCCGCTTCACGGGGCGGTTATACGTGCATTCCGACCCAAACGCGGCACAGGGCGCGCAGACCGATGGGTTGTTGGAGGGTGAGCACTGTTCATGTCAGTTCATGTCATGGAAGGTATGGAAGCGGGCCCCGCCGCTGTTGCTTTGCTCCGCTGGAACCAGTTCAGGCGTTCAAGCGTTCAGCAGCGTTATCTGGGTGCCTCTTGGGGGCGAGTGGACTGACCTTGACGCCACCGCGATGGCATCGGTCGCAAGCTCTCTGAGTAGTGTCAGCGTTGTCCACTTGGGGTCAGATCGGCATTGTTCCCTGCGCCATATTACACTTGGATGAAGCAGGCCAATCGGGGAGATTGCCGCGCACAAGTGCGGCCCCTGGGAACCAAACAAATTGGGTTTGCTCACTGTTATGCGACGCCGCTTGAGCGGTTCGGATGGGCCTGGTGCGGAGTTGGACGACGGCGACGAGGAGGGCATGGGCGTTGACGATGTGTGAGTGTTGTTGAGAGATTGATTGCTCGTCAGCTCGGTGTTTGCATGGTGGTCGTCATCAGACTAAGCGTCGCGACCGCGGACGGGAGCAGATGAAAGGGAACTAGTGACTAAAGTGACTCAGTCAATGTTAGTCGACCATGCGGCGCACATTGGCGATAGCACGTTGGCAGTTGGCACATCATTCATTGCTTCGCGCGTCGCAGTCCCTAGACTATGCGACTATGCCTTCGCCGAGCAGACCGAGCTAACGGCCGGTCGGCTACGTTTCCGCATATCCGCATCTTGCCTCAAACAATTGCCCGCACCTCCGCCGATGGGTCCAGCCATGCACGTGATGGGAGGCACGTGGCTTGGGCATGGCGGCGCTTCACGTGACTACCCCTCAGCCAGCAGCGTCATCGGCGGCCTGATGACCGGGCCGATGGCGCTACCATGGTTCAACTGTGGGCCCCGGCGACTAGCTTGCAGCGTTAACCGGAAAGACACCCCGCATCGGCTGCGACAACAATCCACGGATCACGGACATCACCGCCTCTGTCTGGTGTCTCCTGCAACAATCTCGCCTTGCTACTTAACGTCACTTCCTTCCTCGTCATCTCCCCTACACCCGCCAACCAATCTACAGCCTCTTCCCAAGCCACCCAAGACCAAAGAAACCAGCGCCACCATGTCTGACAAGGCCAACATGACCCTCACCCGCCCGACCGAGACGGTGTGGCAGATCAACCTCCAGGCTCCCCCCGACAACCGCCTCACCATCGAGTTCCTCACCGAGCTCTCGGCGACCCTCGACCAGGTCGAGGCTGAGTGGCGCAAGTCTGGCGGCGGTGAGGACGACAAGGGCAAGAACAACGGCGCCGGTGCGCTCATCATTACCTCGTCGCTGCCCAAGTTCTTCTCGAACGGCCTTTCGCCCACTGTCCTCGGCGTCCCTGGCTTCTTCGAGTCCGTCTTCGACCCCGTCATGTACCGCCTCCTGACCTTCCCCCTGGTCACCATCGCCGCTGTCAACGGCCACGCCTTCGCCGGTGGCATGATCCTCGCCTTCTGCTGCGACTACCGCGTCATTAGCAGCGGAAAGGCCATGATGTCGTGAGTATACAGCTGGCTAGCCTCGGGATGAAAGCTGACCCCAGGATGAACGAGATCTTCCTCGGCCTCCCTATGCCCAACTCGTTCGCGACCTGGCTCCGCATGCGCCTCCCCTACCAGGCGCTCCGTGAGACCATGCTCGGCAAGCGCTGGTTCCAGAAGGAGCTCCTCGCCGCCGGCATGGTCGACGAGATTGCCGAGCCCGACCAGGTCGTCCCCAAGGCCATCGAGATCGGCACCCGCGAGGGCGCCAAGGTCGGCGGCGGCTCCTGGGGCGCCATCAAGGTGAGCCAGTACGTTCGACTGCAGCTGACAAACAGGACGGCATGTACCACGAGGTCATTGACGCTTCGCGCAGCCAGCGCCAGATCTGGCGTCCGTTCATGGAGGCCGACGCCTTCTGGGCGCGCATGGAGCGCGAGGGTGTTGCCGCCAAGTTCGCTGAGAAGGCGAAACTCTAAGCGTGCAGCGAGCATGGGGTGCAGTGGAGTGCGGGTCAGGCTCCAGCAGCTCAGCACTAAGGAGATGTCCGCACAATGTGTAAAATCGATAAGAGATAGCAGTATGAATTGTCTACAGCAGTCCAGCCCTAAGCGCCGGTGTAGTAGTGGCGCTGGGTCAGCATCCACGCAACACCGCTCGCTGTCTGTCAGTTCATCCCCGCTGTTCAAAACTCACATCCAATGACGAGAGGTCCAATCGAGGCACGGTTAGGCTTGACGGTGCCGAAGACGAGCCACTCGGAGACAAAGTGGAAGGTCGCGACGCCGAAGGCGACAATGCCGAGGTCGTAAAGACCCTTGTTGGAAATGTCGTACGCGGCGAGCAGGCGGATCGCGGCAGCCATCGCGGTCCAGGCGCCGAAGAGACGGCCAGCCAAGGGGGTCACTGGCGTCAGTTGTCGGAAACAGAGGAGCTTCCTGATTCCTCTCTGAAGACATTCCTTCCGGCGCTGAAGAGAGGAACGCGGCATTGAACTCACTCTGCTCCTCCTTGCCCGAGTAGATCTCCTTGCTCTGCTTCAGCGTGACATAGTTCTGCGCGACATTGTAGATCGACGCGATGCTGGTAATCAGGAGCCAGTAAGGCAGGATGCCGCCTCCGGCAGGGGGCTGGGGGAGGTCTGTCGTCAGCTCAAGCTGCACAAAATAGCTGTCAGCATCATATGCAGTACGTACACGAAGTAAGAGACATGGCGGACGAGAGGACAAGGAAGGTGGACCGATATCAAAATCAGGAACCACGATCGGTGGTCCGATATCTGCCAACTGGACTGGCGCGCTCCGTTCCTGTCCCTGGCTCGCGGCTTGCGGCGCCAGGCGTGCGGGGCCGTTTTGTTGATGCCTTCAGCCTTCCCTGCACTGAAATTTCGGAACCTCCACCATCGTCACTTTGACTCATCCACCGCCCGAGGAACACTCGCCACCATGTCTTGCGCTCAGCCAGACGAGATGATGCCTCGTAAGCTCTTGCGCCCGGCCTTCGGATAACTGACTTCAGGCCGGCGACCCATCAGGCAGCGAGACAAGAAGCTCTGCCACCGCTGTGAGGAGCACAGGAGCCAGTATATCTCTCGGTCGTTGCCGTTCTGCGAGTGAGTCTTGCCTTCCCTCCCTCCTTCCTTCCTTCCCTCTACCCGCATAAGCTTCCTGCTCCATCGACTCTCTCATTCCAGAATTATCGTCATTAGCTGCAGTGGCTACAAGACTGAGTGAGCTAACGCCAGGACTTGCTTCTGTGGAGGCCTCTCGGTACGATGCGGGCGTGATCTGCACGTCGCCCTCACGCCAGGCATCAAGGGTGCCAACGTGCGCCCGCGGCGGCAGTCGAGCAACCTGCTCGTCGCTCTCTCCGGTGGTGCAGGCAGTACGGCGATGGCCAACATGCTTAACGAACGCGGCTACTGGGCGAGGTCGGAGGGCGAGGTCCGCGATAAGACGAAGGGCGAGAAGGAGATTGTCTGGCCTGCCGCTTGGGCTGTGCACGTCGACTTTTCTGCTGTCACTGGACTTGCCTCGCAGACGGAGAGGTTGAGAGCGCTGGCGGAGGGGATGGGACTGAAGTTTATCGCTCTCAAGGCCGAGGACGCCTTCGACCCAACGCTGAGCCGGAGGATAGGGGCTGCGGCTGGTCTGCCTGTCGAGGAAGGTGAGGGAGAGGGGGTAGCGCTGAGCGTCAATTTGGCTGATATTGGTGAGTCTACAAGAGCTAAAGACACTCGGCCTAGCTGACAACAGGCCTGAACCTTCACAGCGCACCCAAGCAGGACCCCTTGGAGGCGCTTCGGGCGCTGCTCGCCGGACTCCCTGCCCCGAGTCGCCCGACACTGCTTGGACACATCCTCGACGGTCTTCTCACGCTGGCCGCCACGACATTGCCGAACGTTGGTGTTCTGCTCGAGGGCGAAACCTCAACACGTCAGGCCGAGCGCGTCATCGGCGCGACTGCTGGAGGAAGAGGCTGGGCTCTCCCGCTTGAGCTTGCCACCCGCCTTCCGCTCACCACTTCCGCCTCCTCTTCTGATCCCTCTGTTAAGGCTACGACGCGGGTAGTCCGCATCAAGCCAATGAAGGACATCACCGTGAAGGAGGCTGCGATCTACTGCCGCACCTCTGGCCTCGAGAGCGTCAACGAGCGCAAGTGGGATGGCACGGTTGGCGAGCCGCGGCGCGATGCACGCGGCAAGGGAGCCTTTGCGTCTATCGAAGCACTGACAGAACGTGAGTAGCTCCAGTTGTCTGGACCGCGAGCTGACAGTACAGGCTTCATCGCTACGTTGAATGTCTCGCACCCCTCGACTGTCAATACCATCAACCGGACAGGGAACAAGTTGCAGTTCGCTGGCACACCCAACAACGAGCAAACCCGCTGCCCATTGTGCGAGATGCCCGTCGATGACTCGGCGACCGAGTGGAAAGCGCGCGCTTCTCTGACATCCCTGCCAGGGCGAGGACCAGAGAGGAAGGAAGAGGAGCCGCGGGAGACGGAGCTGAGGCCGCTCCTGTGCTACTCGTGTTTGACAGCTTTCACGCCACTGACGGCGGCCAAGCGCGACCAGCTTGCTGCCGACGTCCCGCTGCCGCTCTGGGTTGGCCCGCAGGTCGCACAACGGAGAGGCGTCTCGGAGGACGAGATGCGGCGGCAGATCGACGAGTTCATCATTGCGGACGACGAGTAGCGCACTCTCCCACGGCATCTTTTCCGGCCCACCGCCGGCCCATCATCATCTGTAAACCTTGATCCCATAGACCAGTGATAGACGACGCTGTATGCATACGACTGCTTGCACGAAACAGGGGGACGAGGTTCCAGGGGAGTGGGACTGCAACTAGGCCCGCTCCGGAGGGATGTTAGGCGTGGACAGGTCAGGTCGCCACTCAGGCACGGCCCAGGGTCTTGGGTCTCGCCTGGGTGCCCGCTGCCCGCCTAGCGTTCTAGCCCATCCAGCACCAGGGCGAGGGCCTTAGGCTACGCTGCTGATTTCTTTGTTTGTGCACAAATCGAGGTGCCTCCCAGACACGGAGTCATCGCAACACCCGCTTGCTACTCATTTGCCTCCACTCGGCGCAAGCACAACACAACAGCCGACCTGCTGCCGTCTTCATACTGCAACTGCATTCCAGCTCCGTCACACCCCTCTCCATAACGCCGCCATCGACACAGACACAAACAACAACAAACACGGCGTTATCTATACCCTGGCGCACAACATTGCGCTCACCACTGCGCCCAACACTGCGCTCCCCACCTAGGACGTAGCGCCCCCACCATGCCAATCGCGACCCAGACCCAGCCCTCAAGTGCACCGGGGTCCATGGGCCCGCCGCCCATTCCGGTCCCCATGCCGCCCCCGCCGTCACCGAGGAAGAACCTCGTGTCCGGCTTAGAGCGCTCGCACTCCCGAGCCGGACACATGCGCCACGGCAGTACTAGCAGTATCGGGCATTCGAGGGGGCAGAGCTTCTCCTCACTCTCCAGCATCGGCAGCCTGACCAACCTCAACAACTTAGCTGGCGGTAGCCTTCCCTCCCCTCTCGGACAGATGGGGCAGATGGGCCCGCCCGGCCTGCCCGCCATGCCGCCCGCGCCGCCACTGGGCAGTGAAATCGCCTGGACCGAGATCCAGAGCAGGTAAGCTGAGGCTTGGTTGTGATGGAGCTGACTAGCAGGACGTTTTGCAAGTGGTGCGTTTAGGCTTGTCTCCGAGAAGCTGTGCCGAGGAGGAAGGAGCTGAAGCGAGTGGAGGAAGCTCACACACAGGCTCAACACGAAACTTGAGAACCATGGGCTCGAGCCCATGACTTCGCTCGACAAGGACTTCTCCGATGGCGTGAAGCTGATCCAGGTAAGTCCATCTCAGTGCCGTGGGCAGAATACATTACTCTGCCTTATCGCCCGCCGAAACCCCCCATGCTGCGCAGACTTCGTATGTGATCAAGAGCTGACATCAGCTCCTCGAGATCATGTCCGATTCGAGCCTGGGACGGTACAACAAGCGTCCGATCATGCGGGTCCAGAAGGCGGAGAACGCCGCCAAGGCGCTTGCGTTCATCCGCGAACGCGGCGTCAAGCTGACGAACATTGGGCCCGAGGACATTGTCGACGGAAACCTGAAGCTGATCCTGGGAATGATCTGGACGATCATTCTGCGATTCACCATCTCGGGCATCTACGAAGAGGGCTTATCGGCCAAAGACGGACTGCTGCTCTGGTGTCAGCGCAAGACGACGCCCTACTCCGAGGTCAACGTGCAGAACTTCAAGAACTCGTGGAAGGATGGCTTGGCATTGTGAGTGCTCCACACGGAATGTGTGACAACTGTCTGTTTACTGACAATTCAGCTGCGCAATCATCCACCGCCATCGCCCGGAACTCATCGACTATGAGAACCTGAACAAGGCCGATGCGCGGGGCAACACGGCGCTCGCGTTCAAGGTCGCCGAGGAGAGCCTTGGTATTCCGGTGCGTTAGTTTGTGGTTCACGTAACTAACCCCAGCGCCTGCTCGAGGTCTCGGACCTCTGCGACGTTGACGTCCCCGACGAGCGCTCCGTGATGACGTACGTTGCCGAGTTCTTCCACAAGTTCTCGTCCGAGGACAAGGCGGAGACTGGTGCGCGCCGCGTCGAGCTCTTTGCCGAGGTGATGAAGTCGATCTGGGTTGCGCGGAACGACTTTGAGCGCCGCATGTCTGCTCTGCTGGCCGCGATGAACCAGACCCGTGCGGTGTGGGCTAGCGCGACGCCTGCGTCGTCGTATCCCGAGGCGATTGGACAGAAGGACGCTTTCGCCGAGTACAAGCGTACGAGCAAGCGGACATGGGTGCGAGAGCGCCAGGAGTTGTCCCAGCTGTACTCAAACATCCAGACCAAGTTACGAACGTACTCGCTCCGGTCATGGGAGCCGCGGAAGGGACTGAGGCTCGAGGATCTCGAGGCGGCTTGGAAGCAGTTGATGGGTGCCGAAGTTGCCCGGAGTCGGTCGATCAACGCACGAATCAGAGACATCAAGGAGGCGCTGCGACGAGAGTTTGCTCGCGTTGCGGATGGTTTTGTCGCTCGCCTGCAGCGGACAGAGCAGGTGATCGGCTCCCTCAGCGGCCAGCTGCAGGACCAGAAGGGGGTGCTGCTGCGGCTGGCGGGGGAGCTGCCGGCCCTGCGAGCGTATTTGAAGGGAGAGATTGACGCCGCGAACCAACGCTGTCTCGAGGCAAAGGTGGACGAGAACGACTACACGGTGTTCACGTACGACGACCTGGAGTTCGAGCTCGAGACGACCGAGGACGGCTTGCGGAAGAAGCTCGCGTTCATCGACAACCAAATTGTCTCCGCACAGCACACGAACATCACGCCGGCCAAGCTGGAGGAGTTTGAGAGCACCTTCAAGCACTTTGACAAGGACGACACGAACGCGCTGACAGTGTACGAGATGCACTCTGCGCTTGCGTCGCTCGGCATCGTGTATCCCGACGAGGAGGTCGAGGCGATCTACTACCAGCTGGAGAGCCAATTCGGCGCGCTCACGTATGAGGCGTGGCTCGCGCTCCTGGTTGAGATCACAAAGGACGATGTGTCGAGTGCGGACCAGCTGCGCGAGGCGTTCCGCGACCTGGCCGGTGACAAGGGGTACGTCACGGAGCAGGACCTGCGATTCGCGAATCTCGGCCAGGAGACGGTCCAGTTCCTCACGAGCGTCATGCCCGCGATCGATGTCGATGAGGAGGCGCCCGAGCCGCAACAACACGAGTCGGCTCGCAAGCCCAAGTTTGATTGTGAGTATTTCCGGGACGAGATGAGCCGGTGCATGCTGTGGGGGACCGTAACTGACGCCCAGACCACGGATTCCTGGAACAGTCGTTTGCGCGGCGCGGGCTGGTGCCATGAGCGCGAGCGGTGCGTTGAGCACAGCGCTGCGAGGTCCGAGGTTGTATGTGCAATGATGTCATCCATGTTGCAACGAAGTGCGGGGGCACTGGGCATGAATTGCGGGAGAACCACGGCGTTACTCTGGACCAAGCCGGAGAAAGCCTACTCATGCATTGGCGAGACCGGAGTTACAAGATGAGGAAATCAGTCGCGTCTGCGCCGTCCGTCAGACATGGGAGTGGGGGGGTGCGGAAGCAAAAGAATGAGGTGTTTTGGGTCAGTCAGGGTGATACGGATGTCGAGGACGACACTGGTGATGAGCTCAGTGCCAGGGGTAGAGTGGACCCTGGGCGATGACCCAGGCTGAGCGCAAGCGCCACGCCAGCAGCGTCGGACAGACCCAGACAGGCTCATGCCCTGCCTGGTGCGCCTGTCAGGCCCAGAGTCCGCTCACTGTACAGCGTCTCGCTCAGACGCACGCCAGCACTGCTGCCGCGCACTACTCTAGCACGCAGCACACCAGCACTCAACTACTTTGTCTCCATCCATCACCTTTCCTCCTCCCATCCACACCCCCTTCCCACCGTCTTCCCCTCCCCTTCCCCCCGAATAATCAACCATGGTGAGTCCGCTAACATGCTTTGCGTGCATGTGTTGGCGAAAACGGGGAGGAAATCGCGCGCGCCCCGCAGTCGAGATGAGAACAACAGCTAACATTGCCCAGTCGTCCGGTGTCCAGCCCGTATGTTTGGTCCCTACCGCTCGGAAGAGATACTGACCCAGAACCCCCCGTCGACCGCAACCACTGTCAAACTGCATGCTGAACCCGTCTCGGACTGCTGGACGTCTCTCGAATCGCGACGATGACGTTTTCCATCCGCGCGCTCGTTCACTGACCGCACGGCGCTCGCACACAACGTCGCTCTGTCCTCGGCCGCCCCGTGCGCCCGTCCACCCACCAAACCCACCCCGCACGCTCTCCCATAACCCGTTACGCACACCGCCCCTACGTCCGCGCGCCTAACCACACAACACTCATGGTGACCACCACCAACAGGTCCAGGAGTGTCTCGAGAAGTACCAGGAGCTGAAGACGGGCAAGAAGCTCGCCTACATCATCTACGGCATCTCGGACGACAAGAAGAGCATCATTGTCCTCAAGACGTCCGAGTCGCGCGACTTTGAGGAGTTTGTCGCCGACCTCCCCGAGAAGGAGTGCAGGTGGGCCGTCTACGACTTTGAGTACGAGCTCCCTGGCGAGGGTATCCGCAACAAGCTCGTCTTTGTGCAGTGGTGAGTATGACGCGCACACGGCCGAGCGCAGCGAGGCTGTGTGCGGGGCTGTCTGAAGCAATCAAGTTGTGTTTCTGCAATGCGGGCGATCGCCGAGCGGCAGTGCAGCGCTTGATGTCGAGCGGCAGAGCCTGTGTCGGCTCCGACATGCTGCGGCCGCGCGGCCTCTTCTGAGGGAGAATTCGTGCCATTACAGATATCGCAGCAGTCTTCAATAGCGGCTCTCTCTTAGCTATCATTTTTCTGGGCTGCTTAGCTAACCTCCAGGTCGCCCGACGAGGCCAACGTCCGCAACAAGATGATCTACGCCTCGTCCAAGGACGCGCTCCACCGTCGCCTCGAAGGCATCCACATCGACCTCCAGGCTACCGACTATTCGGAGATCACCAAGGAAGCCAGTGAGTTCAAGGCCGAGCGGAGCGCAGCGCAGCTCGGCCCACATTTTCCATTTTCCCACCCTTACCTTCGTCTCGACCCCTCCGTCGAGCTTCTCGCTCGCATAGCTAAAGCGCGTTGATCGAGCACCAGCTAACACACCGCAGTCCTTGAGAAGGCCACCCGCAGATAAATTTAGCCACCCCACCATCACCCCCACCCTTAACTAGCAGTAGCCAGATGTCCTAGACTCCTTGCTGCGGCGAGAGCATGCAACAAGTTGATCTGGAGCGCAGCGCGGTGAGCCACGCGAGCGAAGCGTTTGCAGCGAGTGGTGCGCTCGTGGAGGGGCCGGAAACGTGTGAATCACAGCAGTAGCTCAACTGATGCGCATACTGACGAACTCGTCCTGTTCCTGGCTACACAAGCGTGTCGAGGGTACATCTCACTGGTCTACATGGTACAGAACGCGTCTGCTGAGGAAACATGCTGGCAGTCAGCTTCGAATTCGATACACCAGCTCACATTTGCTAAGAACGTAGAGGGCTGGGGGTCAGCTCTTCGTAGTGGATTACACTGTCATTAGCTATATGTGCCGAAAACTTGAGCTCACAAGTCAGGCTGACGTCAACTCTGCCACCCTAAAGGATAGCTCACCGTCGGCTCTGAGACTGGGGTTAGCTGAACGCCAAGCGATAGAGCTTACGACCGTCCGTAGCTGGGGAGGTCAGCTCTCACACCCGACAATAGCTTACAGAGCGTAGGCTGGCGTCAGCTTTTGAGATCAAGGCGATAGTGAAGCTCACTCTCGACTGATGGGACTGGGGTCAGCTAACAAAACCGCGCTGGAAGCTGACCTAGCCGGGAGATTGGAGTCAGCTGCAGCAATCATGAACACAGCTCACAGTGTCTGGCGCACTGGAATCAGCTTTCTCGACGACTTGAAAGCTTACTCACCATTAAGAGACGACTGGAATCAGCTATGCCAAAGGGAGTGGGAGCTGACTTTTTTGTGCAACTGGGAAGTCGGCTGTGGTGGATGACGAGGCAGCTCACCAGGTGGTCGCGCTGAGTTCAGCTACACTGGAACAGAGAACCAGCTCACCTCTCTCGAAGAGGGACTGGGGTTAGCTTCAAGTCGTAGGCTCACAGCTTACACCGCCCGGAACTGAGGGGTCAGCTACTATGGGGGCACCGGCGAGCTCACCAGGCATTTCTGCGATGCTGAAATCAGCTTTGCAAACCACTCCCGAGCTCACGACTGTGAAGAGACGACTGGTATCAGCCTAGATACTGGTGTGGCAGCTGACTGTTACGCGGGACTGATATGTCAGCTACGGTGAGGGCTCAGACAGCTCACAGAAGCTCGCGAGACTGAAATCAGCTACCATGAAATGTGGAGTAGCCTACCCGCTGAGAGGGGGCCAGCGGTCAGTTTCTCATCTGAACTTCGTAACTTGCACTGCCTGCCCAAGACTGGTGTGGTCAGCTACAGAACAGAGAGATTCGCTCAGCTCACTGGCTAATCGTGAGACTGATGTTGGCTACGGTGAAAGTACGGCAGCCCACCGATTCTTAGCGGGCTCTGGAGTCCTAACAGCCTGGTCATCGGAGCTTACGGCTTTCGGCGGCTGAGGGGGTCAGCTACATTGGCACGTTGGCGAGCTCACAGACCCCGCGGGACTGGTGTTGGCTTCTGACTAGGAGCAATGATGTAGCTCACCGTCCAGGGAGACGCGGAGAAGATCGCTTACTGAACAAAGGGGACCGTAGCGGTCAGTTAGTTGAGTCAGAGTTAGCTAATCCGGTCCGAGGCTCTGGTGTCAGCTTTGAGATGGCATGGGCAGCGCACTTCGGATTTGGGCGGACTTCGGACTTGGGCGGACTTGGAGTCAGCTCATGATGAAACAAGTGGAACTCACATCTCGAGGAGAGCTGTGGCAATGAGCTACCATCGGCCCTTTCCTGCAGCTCCTTCATTCGAAGAGGGGGAGACTGGTCTCAGCTAAGGAGGGAAGAGGTCTCCAGCTTACCTTGTAGACTACAGGAAGAACCCGAAAGGCATCCGAAGTTGACTTCGGCCAAGGAGACTGAGGGGGTTAGCTACGTTTTGCGGCTGGATAGCTCACACACCTGTTAAGAGCGACATCATGCGCTTGAGCTCTTGGCCAGTTGACCGATCGACTGGGAGTCAGACAGCTGAACTCAGTGGCGATGGGTCTGTGAGACTGATTTGAGCCGATGTACTTGTATTCACTAGACGGCTGCACGCGGGCTACTGTACCCTACGCAGGTTGAGAACAAGGAGGACTGAAGTCAGCTCCTCCGGACGGCGAAAAGCTCAGCTTCTCACTGCAAAGTACGCTGGTGTCAGCTACAAAGCTGGAGCTACTGAATCTGGAGCTGGGATCTGCTTCGTAGACTAGCTGGGTAGCATGCGCAAATGGTGAGAGCTGGTGTTTAGCTGAGACCCAGCGTGTGTCGAAGCTCACAATGGCTGTAATGGTCGAGGAAGCAGTCAAAACTGGCGCGAAGGAGGAGGGCTTCTGGTGTCAGCTAGGAGGTGAGTGACGTTCGTAGCTCACAGCAACCTTTGGCTTTTCAGCTTACCGCTGCTTGGCAGCCCAAGCCCAGCTCAGGTGTGGCACCGACTCTGCGGTAAATAAGCTGGGTGACGACTATCGACAAGCTCACCGTGGCTACTCCGGGGAAGTGATTGCTTAGTGATGAGGGCTGGATATGAGTTGCTGTCATGGAGTGCTTAGCTCACCCGGTAGCACAGAAAGTCTGGACTAGTCAGCTGTGGGACGCAACCCAGAAGCTCTCACGTCAAGATGTTGAACTGGGGTTAGCTGACTGCCGTACATGTGGCGAAGCTCACAAGGGCGGTTAGCAAAAGTACAGAGAACTGAGGCAGAGAACTGAGGGTTAGCTTCCAGCGCCGGGCGCAACAGCTCACTCGGTGGAGGAAGCACATCTGTCACTGCTAGCTGTGCGTGGAGCATTGAATTATAATATGGTGGGGATGGCTGCGTTGTGTCACATGTCAAGTCCCGTGCTTGCATGGTCAGGTTGAGGCAGTTGTTTGGAGGGAACCGGAAGTGCAAATACTGTGCCTTCACAGCTTCGTTTCAGCTTGACATACGAGTTAAGATCAGCTTACGTTGAGAGCTGATGATATAAGGACGAACCACTGTCTGCAGTTTGGCACTGTCTTCGGTATGCTATACCAGCTCTGCGGGATCGATGAGTATGATGAGTACTGCCATCAGCTTTCCAGACGTGGTCGAAGAGCTCACAAGGATTCTGGGGAGTACGACGTTCATGTGGCGCTTCGAGACAGTTACTGGCATGCGAAGTACTGCCATCAGCTTCCCTGAACGACGATGGTAGCTGACCGTGTTTCTGTAATAGTCGGTGTCGGGGGTGAATCGAGTGTACGAACCACAATCGTTCATGGAGGGCGAAGCTTGCACCGAGCTCTCCGCAGCAGATGAGTCATTCAGAACTGGAGTTGGCTGGCACTGGAAGGTCAGCTCGGTGTTCCTAGACTGCTCAGCTTAACTCACATGTCCGAGTTCGATGGTTCAAAGGGACGTACGCCGTCACGCCAGGAGGTGAAGAAGAGGTGTTCGATGGTTGAGAGGACAAGACGACAAGAGGAGGGAGGAAGGAACGTGCAGCAACAAAGCATCACGGGACATCTGTGACGGTGAAGGGGACGCGGAAGCGGGCGCAGTCCGCTGCAGGTGCGTGCCGTGCGAAGGCGCGAAGAAGGGGGCGATCCAGATCGACTGCGCCCTTATTGCGTCCTCGCTGGGCTCACCATTGATTTGGTCCGCTGAGCCTCTCTAAGCTCCTCTAGCAGTACGATACCACGTAAACTCTCAACACGCGCCCAGCATGCCCAGCAGAGGACCATTATGTTCATGCCATAGTTTTACAGAATTACCCGGGTGATTGTGCCACTTGCTCCCATTCACCACCTCCCAACTCTCTGGCCCTCAATCCCCCCCTCGGAGTAAAGTCGCCTCCGCGACACTCCATGCACATTCTGATTGCCCTATCTAAACTCTACTTCGATTGCTGCACGCCGTACCATGCGAGTCCCGCCACGCCGCCACCCAGCACGCTGGCCCAAGCCGGCGAGCTGAAGCGGTAGCTCGCGAGGAACGAACCCGACGCCACGACGGCCCAGAAAGGGTCAGCCGTGAGGGGTCCCGAGAGCGAGGTGCTCTTATCTCCCTCGCCAGAGGAGTAGATGTATCCGACGAGGAACAGCTGCCAGACGGCGGTGAAGACGAGTCCGGAGGCGGCGGCATTCAGTCCGCGAATGATGGCCCGGACGACAGTCAGATCCTTCCAGTTCACGTAGATAGGCAAGAGAGCGAGTTTGAGCAGAATGCCAGTCGCGAAGATACCGATGTAGCCCAGGAAAGCGCCCAGGACCGGCTGGCCCACGGGCGTGAGGGCAATGACGCCAAGGGCGACGGCGAAGTTAAAGTTAGGGCCGGGGAACGCTTGCCTGTTGGTGTCAGTTGATCTTCCTGAGGTGCTCAACTGGTTCGGTGGAGACTCACAGGATGGAGAAGACGAGGAGGAAGTCGCGGTCGGACACGAAGCCGGGAGCGACAACATAGTCCCTCAGCAGGGGGATTACGACCGGCCCGCCGCCAAAGATGATGACGGAGGGGATGAGGACGGCGCAGAAGAAGTCAAAGGCGCGGGACACGTGCTTCCCGGCATGCTTCAGGCCGCCACGGACGCCGAGCGGCACGGCCAGGAAGAGCACGAAGCCGAGCAACAGCGCACACGCCACAGAGGTCGGGATCACTTTGAACTTGAGCGTCTCCTGCGCTGGCTCCGGTGTCGGCTCGGGCGCCTCCTCCTCACTCGGGGAGGCGCGGGGCCGCAACGACGTTGAGCTCACGTTGCCGATACCGTTTGAGACGGAGCGAGTCGAGCCTGGACGTTCGTGGATCGGCGCAGGGGCTGGGACGGACGAGACCTCGGGCACGACGGGAATGTCGGTATCGGACGTCTTGCGAATGGAAGCACGCTCACGGAGAGATGCGTTGTCGGCGACAGAAGCTGTGGGCGAGCGTCGCTCCGGGATCGGCTCGAGAGGGATGTCGCCGTGCTGCTGCGGGTGATGCTCGTGCTTCTTGACCAGCTTCTTGGCGGGGGTGATAAACCACTGCCGGCGGAAGTCCCAGAGCAGTGTCGTCAGGCCACCCGCGACAATGAGGACGGGATACATCCACGGCGCGTGGTAGCAGATGCCGAACGAGGCCGAGAGCCAGAGGATGACGAGCGTGATCTTGTCTGTCGCTGCGGCATGACCGAGCTGCACGGCCGCGAGAGCGATGAGACCGACTGCTGCCGCGTTCAAGCCGGTCAGGAGCGCCATCACGATGGCTGGGATCTGATCCGGAATCCGTCCAACGCCATAACCCAGAATACCCATGCCGATCGCTCCGGGCAGTGACCAGAGGAAGAAGGCGAGCAGACCGGCCAATACGCCGTGACATACCACCGCGATCGAGAAGGCGAGCTGCGTGCTACCTGGTCCCGGGAGGGCGTTGCCGAGCGCAAACAGGTCGAGGAACACAGTCTCGTCGACCCATTTCAGTGTCTGCACGAAACGTTTCCGGAGGATGATGACGTGCACGCCGGGACCGCCGAAGGACACAAAGCCCAGATCCCAGTAGTGCTTGAACACCTCCTTGAGGTGGTAGACGACGCCCATGGTCGATCGCGTCGTGTCGCTCGTGCGAGTCGGGGGTCGGTCTTGTGACCACGCAGGTCGTGCTAAGTGCTAGCGATGGCGACGATGAATGGGATACGAGCTATTTGAGTGTCAGATAACAGCGGCGAAGGACACACGTGCGTGAGAATATCTGCGGGAAAGGATCTCGACCGCGGCCCTTCTTATGCGTCGCGATGTGCTCAAAGCCCGGGCGCCAAGACATTGCTACCTCAGTCGTGCCTCGTCACAAGACTGGAGCGTACGGTTAGTCGCGAACGTTTCATCATATGGCGTGCTTCCATTCGCTCGCACGGAGCACCAGCGAGCCTCCGCGGCATTTTACATCGGTGAATTTCACGCTCTCCACCACTGCCAGCCGCTTATCTCGCGTCCTCTCGGCGCCCGTGAGAGCTGCTGCACGAACAAACCTGGCCACCGTCGCCGCACCTCACTGCCCATGTGCTTGGCAGCATGCATATGTTACCAGCTGCTCGACTCAATCTCGGATCCGAGTGGGACGTGCGGTACTATCCTCCAATGAACGCAGCCACGCCTAACATCTTCTTGCAGACGGCACCACGAGACGCGAGACGCAAAACAGACCGTTGGAAGCCTCTTACACGATGGCCGGCAGCTCGTCATTAGCGGCGGCGCCTGAGAGTCAGAGGCGGCTACCAATTTCACCGGATCCCTGTTGCGTGAGAGCAATGTAACGTTATCGACGGTGAGCTGACCCTCACCCAGGACGGATCTAAGGTGAGAGAGTGAGTATGGTGTGCATGAGCCTCACAGACCGAGCTCTCTCCTGATCTCCTGCAAACTCTTGCAAACTGAGTGCGGGGCACCTGGCCACGAATTGTATGCACGAACTCGACCCTGAGCGTAGGCGGCGAGTTTCCGCAAGTGTCGGCGTTAGCGGTGCGAAAATTATGCCACACCGACCCAGCGCGTAAATCCGATTTCGGTGGTCGACCACGTGGTGACCCTGGCTTGTGGGCCAGTGCTGGGCAGGCAGCTGCAGCAGGTGAATCTTGACTTGGCTGTCGAAGTCGTCTTCCCATCCATCAACTACCAAAAAGTGAGACCCGAGCGCCGGCAACGACGACGCCACGACGAACGACGAGGAACGACATGGAGCTGACCTAGCAGTGCCCGGTGTTCGCGACGTCAGCGCGGAGGACTTCATCAAGGCCTACTCCAGCCACCTTAAGCGTTCGGGCAAGCTCGACATCCCCACCTGGGTTGATGTCGTCAAGACCGGCCCCCAGAAGGAGCTCGCCCCCTACGACCCCGACTGGTTCTACGTCCGTGCCGGTGAGTACGACGAAAGACAGCAGCAGGAAGGCAGGAAATCGGATTGGAATGGCAGGAACTGGGACCGACAAAAGATGGACCGAGAATCGATCGAAAGTTTTCAGCAACCCGACCGTCTCGACAGGGTACATGATGGGAGCGCGCAGGATGAAGAGAATGAGAGACGACGTGCGAGGGATCTGGATGACGACGATGTAGAGGGTGGAGAGGATTGTTGGATTTGTTGGACTGCGACAGAAGTTTGGTCTGGCTGGGGCGGAAGTTGAATGTGGAAGGAATTTTGGTCACGCGCTGTCGACACGACCTACCGACCCGAATGCGAAGAACGATACCGCTTTTTGTCAACGATGCCGAAGGCTCTCGCCGTGTTCCTGCCGTTGCTCTGAGAAGAATGCTTCCTGCTGTCCGAAGCAGATTACCTAGTGCACAGCTAACCCTCCAGCGGCCGTTGCCCGTCACATCTACCTCCGCAAGCACGTTGGTGTTGGTGCCCTCGCCAAGCTCCACGGCACCAAGCACCGCCGTGGTGTCAAGCCCGGCCACCACCGCGACTCGGCCACCGGTGTCGAGCGCAACGTCGTCCAGGCCCTCGAGAAGATCGGTGTCCTCGAGGCCCACCCCGACGGTGGACGCAAGATCTCGCAGGACGGTATGCGTGACCTTGACCGTATCGCCACCGCCGTCCTCGAGGCTCAGCGCGAGGAGGAGGAGGAGGAGTCCGAGGAGGAGTCTGAGGAGGAGGCCGAGGACGACGAGTAGACGCCTGTCTAAGTCATAGCGGGTACTTGGTCATGGATTCACTACATACACTGTCTTTTTGGAGCGCCATTTTTGGGACTAACGGGAGCGATATGAGAGATTGTGCTGGTGCTGCGATCGGGGGGACAGACTCTGGAGGTGTTCTGAGCGTTGTCGAGGCGTATCGTTATCATTTGCGTGCCCCTTATCTTGAAGTCAGATGCGATGGGCGTGTAGAGTGCGTCATGAGTTTCATTTGCGCACGAGCGTTGAGCAGAAAGCGGGGCATCAGTTAGCCTCCACGCGTGCCGGTCGGCACCGCCCGCATCGGGTTGCGGCTTATTGACACCGCACTATCCTACACGCTTCTTCACTTTCTGCATTGCACCATACCCCACGTCCATTCCAGAGGCCCAACAGGCTTACACTAACCTTCATATCACCCATCATCGGGTTGACTAACACACTCCTTACATCAACACATCGCAGTGCGATACCACAAGCCTACACAGGAGGCTCACAATGAAGTTTCTGTCCTGCTTCGGCGAGAAGCAAAAGACTGCGCTAGATGAGGATGCCCTGCTCGAGGGGCAGAAACCGGGATGCGTCTTCTGCGGCGTGACTAGGGAGAAAGGCTTCGATATCATCGAGGAGGTGCGTGGCTCTGCTCTCAGCTCGCCGCAACGAAGAGACCTCGGCGTGGAGAATAGGCTCAGCTATAAGGCGACCGGATAGCTGACGCACAGGACGAGGAACTCATCGTCTTCCGCGATCGCTGGCCAAGGGCTGCCGAGCATCTCCTGGTCATCCCGCGGAAACACGTCATCAGCGTCGTGCCGGAGCTCACGGCGCGAGACATCCCCATGAGTAAGTGACCTAGTGCCCGAAGCAACTCTCGGCCTCCCATCTCCTGTCTGTCACCGTGGGCCAGTATTGACGTGCAGTTGAGCGAATGGAAGCCCGTGGCCGCGCCCTCCGCCCCCAGCCCGGCGTCAAGACGGGTTTCCACATCCCGCCCTTCTCGAGCATTCATCACTTGCACATGCACGTGCTCGTGCCCCCGTGGCGACCGCTTGGCAAGGTGCAGTACCCCGTCCGCGAGGGGGAGGACGGGGGCAAGAAATGGACCTGGTTCGTCACGCCGCAGCAGGTCGTGAGCATCCTCGAGAATGGGGGACGGGTCGGTCTTGGGGCACAGGCTGGCAAGAAGCCATAGTCGCCTCGCGGTCTCGATGGCTCGTAAGCCGACCTACGATGCCCACAAACCGCACACACACTCGTTCTTCCCTCTTCCCTTTGTTTAGACTTGTTTAGATACACCTTGGTTTATAATGCAGCAGTAGATTACACGTAGTGGTACATCTCGAGACGTGGTGTATAATGAAGTACGGAAACGGGAGCTGTAGCTGAGCTGCTGGTCTAGGATGAGAAGGAAAGGGGTCAATAAATGGGTCACTGTCACTTGCCGGCTGTGCTAGCGTCGCGAGCGCTATCCCAGAACGTGCAGGTTCTTCTTGGCCTTCTTGGCCTTGCGCGCCGTCGTCTGCTTGTTGAAGTCGCGCCAGCCGTCGACACGCGCCTCGCGGTTCTCTGTGGTTGGATCAAGAGTAAGAAGAGTGATGACGGTAAGCAAGTTAGGAAGTCGAAAGGGGGAACATGTGTGTCAGCATCGGTTCTCTCACAAAAACAAAAGACGGGGCGGGCAGTAGCGGCGACCGCCGGCGCAGACGCAGAGGCACCCGGGGCAGTTACGTCGGGCGCTGCGCCGTTTGCGCGCTGGCTCTGGACTCCTTGCGCTCCGGGTGGGCTAATTCCTGTTGTATCTGGTCAGGGTACGCCCCATGGATGGCCTGCAGGCCTGCCAGCTCACGCTGGGTGGAGACACTCACCTTCCCACTTCTTCGCGTCCTCCTGTTTCCGCTTCCGCTTCGCAATCTCAGCGTCCTTGCGCGCCTGCTCCTCACGCTCGTTCACGTTGACGAGATTCTGGCGTCTGGCTGTCAGCTGGATCTCCGTGACCGCTAAGCTCACTGTCGCTTGTCCATCGCGTCCTCGATAAGAATCTCCTTCGCCTTTGCGCGCAGCCGTATCTGATACGGCGGGGACAGGTTTGCGAGTCGCGGATCGCTGTCCTCAATACTCGGCGTGTAACCCGCACCAATGATCCTGACGTCAGCACCATACCATCCTGTGAGCACGCACGACTTGATCACTTGCGACCGCGCGAGTTTCATGATGGAGTTAATCTTAGAGCTCTGCGCCTCGTCCGACAATTGACTCTCAGCTTTTTTAAGAAGATCAAACGCCTGTAATGTCAGCTCGGGCTGTGTGCTAGAGAGCTCACCTCTGGTCCCTGCTCGTGCTTGAACTTGTCGGGATGAATCATCAGCGATTTCTTACGATACTGCTTCTTCACTTCTGACTCTGTAGCAAAGGCAGGAAGGTCGAGGATATCGTAGGGGCTGTTATGTCAGCGCGCGTCGAGTTGAGATGGGCTTACTTGAGCTTGAACGCCTTAAGGATGCGCTCCACCTAAGTACGTCAGCAAGCGCACGATGTGATCAACTAGAAATCCAAAAACCTCACCTCCGCCTTCCTAGGGGCATCGCGATCTGTAGTCGACATGGTGATTTGTTGGATGAGATGTCGGTGGAGACCTTTCGAGATGAGGTGAGCGCGCGATCAACATTCGGCGACTCAGTGGCAAAGGCACCGTCAGTAAGGTGCGGAAGCAAAGCCACGCGGCGAGATTGGCTGCAGTCTTGTTCCCGCTCGCCACCCAACGACAGAGCCTTCACTGGGTTAGATCAGATCGGCAGCCATTGTTCATGTGTGCGTCGTGACTTGTACTCTTCACCAACTCAACATGGCCGGCGATGCGTTCTTCCTCAAGAAGAAGTCTCGCCCACGCCAGCTTGGCGCGGCCAAACCCGGTGCTGGCGCCGGTCCGTCTCGCCCCGTTCGCCCACGACCTGCGACGCGCCCGCCCGCGAAGCTAGTCGGCCTCGCGGCCGCCAAGGCCAAACAAGAGGAAGAGGCCAAGGCCGTCAAGGCCGAGAACGTCGTCGAGATTCAGATCGTGTCCGCGGAGCCGGGATCGGGGTTGCGCTACAACCTGATGAAGATGAACATGCTCCGAGATGTCGACCCATCCCAGATTGCGTCGCCAATGTTGCTCAACCGCAAACAGCCAGGACCGAAGGCACCACCGCAATTTGCGCACGACGCCGAGGGCAAGATCATTGGCCGTTACGTCTATGATGAGAACGGAAAGCCTGTCCTAGACGACGAGGGCAAGCCGAAGATCGAGATCAAGCAGGAGATGGACATGTCCCTTGTCGGTACTGCGCCTGGCCAGACCAACAAGCGCCGGGGGAAGCGCAACACCAAAGAGGTCTTCCATCAAGATCTCGAGGTCATCAAGCTCCGACGTGAGGAGGCAAACCCTTGGGTCTTAGAGGCGAAGAACCCCACCGAGGGATCGGAGCTGCCAGAGTTCTGGGTCGGACGGATGCAGGAGCCGTCGACGCTCCCAACGGTTCTGCTAGTGAACGAGGGCGAGGGCGCGACCTTCACAATGGTCCCTATGGGGCGAACGTACCGATTCGACCCGCAACGGCGGTTCAAGATGCTTGACCCGGATCAGGCAAATCGATACGTTCGTGTCGTCATGGTGCTCAACTGCTAACCGTTCACAGTTCGAACTTCAGGACAAGCATCACGTTCATGACCGATGGGGACTGCGCACCGATGACACTGGCAACCTTAAGGTTGACGAGCAAAACTTCATCAAGAACAGTAACCGCGTAAAGCGCTTCGAGGCCAAGGTGGAGGAGGTTCTCAGTTTGCCTGGCGAGGAGATGAAGCCCTCCTTGCGGGCTAGGAGCCAACCGAAGGCGGCCAAGGGCTATTACGACTCCTCCTACTTTGATGATTACAAGGCGGAGAACCGCCAGATGGGTCGAGCACTGGAAGGCGGTTTCGACGAAGAGCTCGACTACGACGTGAACGAGGACTTCCAGGACGACGAAGACTCGAACACATTCTATGTCAACCGCGAAGAGGAAGAAGAGAAGAAGCTCCAGGAGGAGCGACAAAAGGAGGAGTACAAGCTCGCGAACCGCAACGTCGGCGACCGTCCCCAGTTGGAGGAGAATTCGGACGATGATGACGAGGAGGACCCTTTCGCACTCACAAGCGAGGGTCGCCGCCTGCGCCGCATGATGCGGAAGCGAGGTGAGGAAGAGCGAGACCTCTACGGATCCGACTCGGACGACGACTCGGACAGCGAGCTTGAGGAGCTTGAGCGCGATAGGGAGCGGGAGAAGGAGAAGGAGAAAGAAAAGGAGAAGGAGGAGCGCAACGGTTCCCGCGCTGGCTCTGCTCAGCCAGGCGAGCGTTCCAGTAACTCTCCGAACAAGAAGGCCATGCCCAAGGCGGGTGCCGGTGCCGCTTTATTAGCGAAGCGCGCGGCGTCGCGCGGTGCATCACCGTCGGTGCGCTCGCGTGCCGGCTCGCCCTTAGCTCGCGGCTCTTCTCCCGACGGCCGTGCCAGCTCCCCTGTCGGCCGCGCTGGCTCCCCTGCTGCTCGGGCCGGGTCTCCTGCAGCTCGGGCTGGATCTCCTGCCGCTCGTGCCGGGTCTCCCGCGGTGCACGGCAAGCGCAAGGCGACCGAGTCACCCATGCGCGACACTCCGCCTTCGACCGGCGAGGACGGGCAACAGAAGAAGAAGAAGAAGTCGAACCGTGGCTCGGCGACTCCAGTGCCCGAGTACGAGCCTTTCCCTGATATGCTGACGCGTGAGGAGGTGATCCGGTGGTTCAAGCCGCGCGGTTCGGTTCACATGAAGGATGCTGTCAACGCGTTCATCCCGCGCATCAAGAGGGGCGCGCATGACGTCCAGCAGAAGAACCAGAGCCTTCTCCTCTACTACATTAGGCAGATGACGATGGCGACGGATCCTGGTCAGGGCAAGAACAAGAAGCTTCAGCTCAGGCCAGAGTACAACGTGTAGAACAGTGTAGTAGACTTGTCCAGATGTCATCCGAAATACTTGTACTGTGCTTGAATGACTCACTGGGTGGAATTCGTTCTGCACTGTTGAGTTCCTCTTCTTACTTCTGCCTCTGAAAGTCACCATGTCTAGAATCCTTGGGCAAGTGAAGAAGCGCATCTCTGCAAAGAGCTCTACAAACAAGGCTTTGTTCGGAAGGACACAAAGAGGATGGCTTCTGATGCAAGAAGAAGCATGCCCTGATAAGCTGATACCTACGACCTCCACTTTGCCTCTCACGTGCCATTAGGAAGGTCCTTTGCCGCACCGTCATTTCGCAGCAGACTTGTCAACAACATCATTCTCATTCCTCACCCGAACGACATGGCGGTGCTGGAAGAAGTACCGGACGCCGAGCTGGCCGAGATCCGGCGGCGTGTCAAGATTCCTCGCGCGCCGAAGAACAAGAAGATTCCACTTGCAAAGCCCTCTACCACTTCAACGGGGCAGAAGCCGCTGGTCGACCTGTCGCTGGACGACTTGAAGGCTGCCGGCGTGCAGTTCACGGAACTGCCTGATGGCGAGCAGTTTGTGGAGGAGGACTCGGCAGACGAGGCCGACGACGAGGACGACCCCAAGACGGACGAGGAGCGCGCTCTCGAAGCATGGTGGGACGAGTTCTTCGACTCGATGATCTACACCGTGCCCTTCTCCTTCCTCTTCCTCATGCTTGACATGTGAGCTGTCTTGCTGAATTGGAGCTGATAGACAGCCTCACGAATCTCAGCTACGACAACCACCCCGACAAGAAGCACTATGCGCAGAACTACTTTGTCGCGCTCATCAGTGAGTTTGCCCATGGAAGTGCACAACTGATCATCACAGCCATCGGCATGATCGTCTTCTACAGTGAGTTTGGCCAGCTCTCCGTCAAGGGAGGTGAGCTAATGACAGCATTACGGCACGCCTCGAACGAGTACATGCGCGCAGGCATGCTCCTTGCGTCCATCGTGTGCGGCTCCCGTCTCATCTGGATGGTGAACAAGGCGGGGTGGTTGGACGTTATCCAGCAGGCGCCGGCGCTTGGCACAATCTGGATCATCACGATTGTCCAGCTTCCACTGCTCCGCGCCCTCATCGGTCTCGCCGTCGTCTCGGCCTGGGGATACTGGGCCGATATGAAGCTCACTCCTTAAGTGTACTCTGCCCCATAGTCCTGATGTCCCTAGATCATGTCATAGCATTACAACTACTGGTTACAACGTAAACTGCTCGAGGGCAGGTGAACTGCTGATACTGCTTCTTCTTTATTACTTCGGAGTAGTACCTGATTCAGTCAGCTATCGAGCTCCGAAAAGTGAAAGCTGGATTGATCCCTCAGTGTAACTATGAACTAAGTTCCCTCATCGCTCGGAACGATGGCGCCCCCTCCGTATCCGGACGGGCCAAGACGGTCGCCGGGAAGGTTGCTCCATCTGGGACACTTGGTCCCCCGACTGGTGTACATTGTGTAATGGGAATGGGTTTCTTCTTAGGGACCAGAGGCCAGCTGCGGGGTACTCACTCTACTCGTCTAGGGTGCCGGAGTCGAGGCCTTGCTCGGGCTGGGCGGAGCAATAGAGGCACTAGCTCTGTCTCTCTTCTTGTAGTTCGCCCTGGCGTTGCGCTTCTTTGGGGGCGCATTCGGGTCAAGGTTCTTCTTCCAGCCTTTCTTGGGTCCGGGCTTCTTACGCTCCTCGGGGTTCTTGGGAGGACGACCGCGGCGCTTCGGCTCGCCGTCTGCGCCCTCGAGCGCGCGACGCTTCGCGGCTGGTCCGTCCTGCTCATCCAGACCGAGGAACTGCTTACCAAGGTCGGCAATAAGATCCTGGTGGTTGGGCTGAGCAACACGTCTCGAGGCCTGCAGTTCCTGCCACATGTAGGTCATGTCGTCCCAACGCTCCAGGTATTTGCGGAGGTACGGCTGGGAAGCCAGACGATGGCGAAGAGTGTCGGCCGAGAGAGGGACGGCGGTGTGGGTCGCATTCGCAGTGGGACGAATGGGAGGAACAGGTCGACAGAGATCAGCCAAGAACTCGACAACCATGTCCTCGACGAAGTCGACAGAATCGACGTCTGGCTCTTTCACATCTCCCGCGGCATACATCAGCGTCGCAATCTCACCGCGCATGGAGCCTCGGAAGCCCTCTTCGCGGCGGCGGGACCTGTCGGCACCTGTCTCAGGTTCGTCCTGAGGAACGAATGAAACGGTGCGAAGGTTGCTCTGTTGCTTCGACTTCGACTGGCTGGTGGCTGGACGCTGCCTAGCCGGAGGCGGGGCCGGAGCAGCGGGCTGCGGAGGAGGCGGGGGTCGCGCTTGCGCCTGTGGTTGCGGTTGGGGCTGCGGCGCCGGTGCCGGAGGTTGTTGTGCCGGCTGTGTAGGGGTCGTCGGTGTTGTAGAACCCCCGCTGCCTAACAATGACGGGTGATACGGCGTTGCGGTAGACGGAGGAGCAGGCGAAGTCGGGGATCGCTGGGGCGACTGTGTGGCCTGTTGGGCCGCAATTCGTTGGCGAGCGATAAACGTAGCCTGGACCTGACGCTGCTGTTGAGGGGGCAGCCTGAGAAACAGCTGCTGAGCCTGCTGATGACTCATCGGCTGCGGCGGATTGCCCGTCGGCTTCGCATTGTAAGCAGCGAGCGCCTGCTGATGATGCTGCGACGCGTAGAAGATGGCCAGCTGGGTGATGGTCGCTTGCGACAGTGCCGGCGTCTGCGGAGCCGGGCTTGCGGCGGCAGGACTAGGGGCCTGGGCTGGTGTGGGTACAGCGGTTGAGATCGGGGTCACAGCAGGGGAGGGCCCGGAAGGCGTGGCAACAGCGGGCGATGACGCCTGAGCGACCACAGGTTGAGGGACTGAAGCAGGTGCAGGAGCAGCTGTCGGCGCGCCCGGCACTGGCACAGTCGCTGGAGGGGTCGGAGCAGGAGCTGGGCTGGATACGGCAACCGGAGCTGGGGCGGGTGCAGCAACCGGAGCTGCAGGGACAGCAGGCACAGGGAAAGGAGTAGGCGTCGGCGTGGCGGCAGCGGAAGCTGTGGCCGTGACAGGCGCGGAAACCGGCGCCGGCGAAGGGACAGCCGGCGATTCAGACATCTAATCAAGTCAGTATCCCGCAACTTTTCAGAGAAGGGGGATGGGTGTGGAAGAGTCATAGAAGCCAGGTAAGCACGCTCCGTCAAGGGTCGCAACCGACTCAGCCGCGCACCGAGATCCAGCTCTGGAACACAGAACGTGGTCCGAGAAGCCTTCTCAGGGCCCCGAAAGCCATCCTTAATGTCATCCAAGCCCGTTGGTCTCTTTCCCCAAAGGTAATCAAGCGCCGCCAAGCGAGGGGACAGATGGGCACGGTGAGTCAGAGGAAACCGAAGAGGAATTAGAGAATGGATTGAGCTAAAGTTAAATCCTGTTGAGGATAGAGATGACTGGGATCGCATACTCACAGCTACGATGTTCTATGGACTTCTCGGACGAGGCTAGAAGGGAAAGCGGGAATGCTACGCTGTCAGCGGCTGATCTCACAATAGATGAAAGGGTGAGATTGAAGCATCAGAAAGTGTTTTTGGTATATTTGTTTATCGCTCATGACCTCTCGGAAGCAGAACTGAATACAAGATTTTTCATCCTGAAAACAGGAGAGAGATAGGAAGAGACACTCACTGATTAGTTACTCCAGGCAAGGGGATGCCTGGAGGAGCTGTCGACACAAGGACATGTGCCGTAGCTTGGAGGAAAAGAAAGCGAGAGAGGAGATGGGTTAAATAGCAGTACCAGCAATCATTCACTCAAAGCTGAGCGCTCGCACCCAACGGCGACTATCACCGAATTGCCGCCGTGTGGCAACCTCCACTTGTTTGCCACCCAACGCAATAACAATGTTCTTGCTTTGGCCATCTCGTCATCCAGATTACAACGACTCGACATGGGTGCTGACGGCGGCTCCATTCCCGACAGGAGGGATCTTGTCAAGACCAAGGGAAAGCTGGAGAAGACTGACAAGGCTCTTCTTCGTGAGCGCTTCTTCTATTGTGCGCTGAGCAAGGTAAGCTTCGAGCTGGCGATTTTACTGACGGCAGAAACCCCTTACCAAGCCTGTCGTTCTCGACCCCTTAGGAAAGCTCTACAACAAAGAGGCTATCATCGAGTACCTGATCGACAAAACTGCCTATGGAGATGGGGATGAGATCTGCCCTTACATCAAGAGCGTTAAGGTTAGTCGAGGCATACGGAGCAGCGCTGACTGGTAGGATGTTAAGACACTGAACCTCATGCCGAACCCGGCGCTTAGCGAGGGAGACGACGCGACGTCTGTTTCGCGTGCTCCGTTTGTATGCTGGTTGTCTCTGAAGGAGATGACCGGTGCCGTGCCTTTCATTGCGATCCGCAACTGCGGCTGCGTCTTCAGCGAGGCCGCCGTTCGCGCCATCATCCCCAACCTCGCCAAGGGCCCGGAGTCGTTCTCAGATGGGCCGGCAGAGCCAGTAGCTTGTCCGAACTGCACCAAGCCGTTCGATCCCTCGGCCCAATCGAGCGTCATGCCCATCTACCCCTCACCTGAAGTTCAGGACCTGCTACTCGACGTCCTTCTCGCGAAGCGTGCCGCGGGCAAGTCGAGCAAGAAGCGAAAGGCCGACAAGGGCGAGAAGGTGGCAGAACCTGAGAACGGTGAGAAAAAGGCGAAGAAGGACAAAGCGGAGAAGCGGGATCGGGAAGAGCGAACAGGCTCGGGATCGCCTGCTCCGCGTGCCGGTGCGCAACCGACCGTCAGCCGCAGCGTCCAGTCGCTGCTCGCTGAGCAGGAGAAGAAGCGCCTGGCAGCTCAGGAGAACATGAGCGATGCTGTGAAGTCGATGTTCCGGGCCAAGTCCGACAAAAAAGACGACACTAGTGACTTCTTCGGACGAACGTTCAACAGGGTGAGCACTCAGATCAGACACAGAGTTTGGGCTGACTAGCAGTATGCGGCTTGAGATGTTTTCGTGATAGTGTGTGCGAGTTTTAACTATAGAACGTTGGATATGCGATGTTGTATCACTATCAGCGGATGTTGCGAGGGTTCGGTGGACACGTAAACAAATGTAACGCCTGCGCGGTGGCGGCGATCACACACTAACAACCGACTCAACTGCTATCAACGGTTGACGCTTCGACTCCTCACACACCTGCACCACCATGCTCCCACATTATCATCCGTCCTCGCCCACACCTCGACCAGAGGGTGTGGTGGAGGCTTTGGCGGCGTCACCCCCGATCGCTCGCCGCCGTCGCTTGAACTCCTGCTCATCTGGTGCCGGTCAAATCACTGGCATCGCAGGCTGGCGCCGAGCTCCGCGTACCCGCCACGGTAGCACGAGCTCGTTGGGCATGGGCATGCAGAGTACGCCTGCGAAGAGAGCCAAGAGCATCGACACAATCCCGTGGGACTCGAAGGCAACGCGGAGAACCGAGAAGGAAGCACAGGATGGGTTGCTGGAAGGGCAGATCAACTCGATTGAAGGCAGCGACGCCCAAGAATTCCCTCTGAGTGACAACACCCCGGAGCAGCAACGGTCTGTCGATCCCCAAACTCCCATCGCACAATGGCAGGACCCGCTGGAGACCACCTCTGAGACTCTGTATGAAATCTACCACGACCACGAAGAGCCCTTGAAGCTTGGCACGTCTTCGGCGCCAGTGACGCCCCGCTCTTCGACGGGTGGCAAACGCAAACGCAGTAACGTCGAGCAGACGCCTCGCGGCCGCATGTCACCCCCCACGGCACTCTCCTTCAACACGCATAATGATGATATCGTGTCTCCGAACGACAATGAGCAGCGCACCCCTACAGTGCCGGAACGCCAAGCGTCAGGCAGGGTCGCATCTCCACGGTTGACACCGCGCCCCAAGCTGGACCTCCCGCCCTCCGACCCGCCCTGGTCAAGTACGCCGAGTGTATTCCACGACGAGTCTTTCCCAAAGCCCCGTTACCGCGACACAAGCAGTCCCAGTCCCCCGGAAATTCCGCGCAGGCGGTACTCGTCTGTGCCGCCCTGGGAGTTGCCCTTGAGTGCGTCACCTCCAACACCTCTGCAGCTCGCGGCTCTCCTCGACGACGACTTCAGCTTCCCCTCTTCAGTGCCTCTGCCTGAGTACGATTACAATGCGGAGCGCGAAGAACGCGCCCTAAGGCCCGATCCATTTGGATTCTCCCGCATCGCTGCCATGGTTGCAGGTGAGTTGCCGATGTGTCGTTCCTCGCTGATGACAGGGCGCACGCCGCAAGTTTTCCTCCCCTCATCAGAAGGTGAGGAGCTACCTGTTCGGGCGTACCCTCCTCCCCGCTTCTCCTCGCCACCGACCAGTCCGGCAGATGGCCTCATCAGCACTGAGGCGGACAGCGTGAGGCAGTCGTCACCGCTGCGTGACCGTGGCGCTGCGCCACGCAAGAAGAAACATTACTGGCTGGGCGAGCGGATTTATAAGCGCATGGAGCGTGCGTCCAGGTCTGAATCGGAGTCAGAGACGGACGAGCCTGTTGCAAAGCGAGTTTGCAAGAGCGAGAGCAGCAAAAACAGCAAGAAGACAGTTCTTACCAGTAGAGCCACACCGGAACCCGACCCCGTAAGCGGCACTCGTCGATCTAGCTAACGAAAGGCCGCCGTTGCAGCCCGTGCTGCTCGTATAGCGCACTTCAAGGAGATCGACGAGCACTACAACCTGGCTGTGGAATATGTCTGGAGCTAGCTGCATGCATTCGTGACCTGCAGCCTTCTGTATCGTGCCTCATGTAACACCTGGCCGCCTGCCCTGTTAGTCGTGTGAATTTGCTCCCGTCGCCACCGTTTCGCATCGCTCGGCGCGTCATGGCTTGGCTGGCGACCTGCCCGCCTCTGTGATCGACGCTCGGGGGTCGCCTTCGCTGACGTCCCGTTTGTGATTTCACTTTCGCAACTCCTCAACTTACTCCCCAATCCTTCCTATAATCATCACGCCTCTTCCACCATGAGGCTATCGACGTCATTGGCCTTTGCCGCAAGCGCAACGCTGGCTGCGGCCGCTTGGGACTGCAAACTGGACAACTACGACCTGACGCCCCTCGCTGGCGTTAAGACGGTGACACACGACGTGGACACGCCGCCGAGTACGACGCGGCGCATAGTCCGCATCAACCTGTGCGACCAGCTGGGAAAGGAGGACAAGGTTGCCGACGAGGACCAGGTGGGTGTCTCCTTTCTTCATGCTTTAACTCTGCCTTTCACGGTGGCCTTCCTTGCCCCTCCCTCAAACTCGCTCTGCTGGCCAACGCGGAATGGACTGCAAGCTGACCCCAGTGCCACGGCGATGTGCAGGCGTGTATGCAGGTTGTTTCCGTGAAGAAGGGCGCCGATGACCGGTATCTCCAGGCTGTCCCGTTGTGGGACAAGGACTCGCCATCGCCCGAGGTCGGAGACGTGCGCGAGAAGGAGTGGCAGCTGCGCCTGAAGTCGTCCAAGAAGTATGCCGGGTAAGCGTCCTCTTCCAGCTGCAGCGCTACGATGGGAAGCTGACATCCCAGATTGGAGCAGTACATGAACATCAACATGATCTGCGACCCAGACGCGGGCAACGACGCGGCGCCCATCTTTGGGTACTTCGGCGAAGGGGACGGCAAGGCGACGCTCGAGCTCGCCTGGCGCTCTAAGGCGGCTTGCAAGCGTGATGAGTCGGCCCCAGACGCTCCCTCAGACGGCGACGACGGCGACGGCGAGAAGTCCTCCGGAGGCGGATTCTTCCACACCCTCGGCGTCATCTTCTGGATCGTCGTGTTCGCCCTTCTCGCCTACTTCGTCCTTGGTGCGCTGTACAACTACCAAAACTATGGCGCGCGCGGGGCAGACCTCATCCCCCACCGCGACTTCTGGCGCGAGGTGCCCGCCCTCGCGCAGGACCTTGGTAGCCACCTGTTCAACAACGTCCGCCAGAGCGGCAGTAGAGGTGGATACTCGAGCCTCGGATGAGGGAATGTAGATTGCATGCATCGTCACACATCCTAGACCCTGGTCTCTAGTCATTATATCATACTCATGCTCATGCCGTCTCATCTACACACGGTATCGCGCCGTCGGCTCGGGAAGGGGCACGCTGCCCAGGCCGCCTCCAGCATCGCGCGACGCGACGAGGTTCTGCACCGTCTTCTGGAGCTCGACCCACTCGTTCTCGCGCGGCTGGACGACCTTCTCACTGACGTCGTACACGTACAGCTTGCCGTCACTGCCTCCGAGACCAACCTTGCGGCTGGACGGCGACCTGTCCCACGCAATCTTGTTCAGCGCCTGCGACGAGACCTGCGTCGACACACTCGGCACCTCGACGTCCTGGTTCAGGTTCCACAGGTCAAACTTGCCGCTTCCGTCGACCGAGCCGAAAAGAGCGGGATGCTGCGGGTGCCACTTGACGTCAAAGACGTAGTCGTCGGCAGACTCGAAGGAGTGCACCGGCCGTTCGCTGCCGTGCGCCGGCTTGCCGCCCTTGGCGCGCCAGAGCTTCACGGTCCAGTCCACAGACGAGGTGACGAAGAGGTCGGAGAAGTCGATCGAGCCGGACGACGGGTGAAAGTCGATGCCCGTCACGGGACCGGCGTGCCCGCGGTACACGTCGTCGGGGTTCAGTCCCGCCTTGGCGCTCGCGCGGTCGTACCGGTTTGCCTGGTAGACGGAGCCCTCTTCCGTGCCCACCCAGAAGGTCGCGGTCTCGTTCTCCTCAAAATCCATGCACGTGATTGACACTTCGTCCGTCTTGTTCGTCGGCGATGGCACCGTGAGCAGCAGCGCCTCCTGCGGCTGCGACAACATGTCCGCCTGCCACGAGCAGACCAGGCCGTCGGTCGATGTCGTGATCAGCGAGTTGGCGTTCTGCGTACCGACCACCTTCATAGCGTAGATCGGGTACGTGTGCCCAGACGCAGACAACGGCGTCTTCAGCACCGGCAGGTGCTTAGCGCGCGTGTCCCAGAGCAAAACCTGGCCGGAGTAGCTGCCTCCAAAAATGAGTGTGGGGTGGAAGGGGGAGAAGGTCACGGAAAGGATGTCAGACTGAAGGTTAGCCCAGTAGCGCCAGTGGAACCTACAGGAGAGTGGAAGATGAATTCTGGTCGCTCCAGGAGGTGCAAATTCCACACGGCAACGATTCCGTCGGGATCATTAGGAGCGGACGGGTTGCGGTTGTAGGATGCAACGGCGAGTTCCGGGAACTGATGGGTTAGCAGTAGAGATCCTGTTCACCCACCTTTGGTGACCAGTCGAGGTCGGTGACGGATCGTCCATTCGTCCAGCGGTCGTCGGAGAAGGCACAAAACAGCTTGACCTTCTGTCCCTCACTCTCGTTGCTGCTGTCAGCTGAATAGCGTGTCAGAGAGCTCACAATCCACCGTCAACACCAATGGTGTAGTCCTTGATGTAGTCGTATCCATCACTGAGGGCCCTCTGGACGATCCTAGAGCTTCCCTCGAGGAAGCTGGTGAAGTCGGGCGTGGCGAAGATGGCTTGTCGCTGCTCGTCCGGAAGCTGCTGCAGCTGCAGACTGTCCGTCTTCTCCTTGAGCTCCTTCAGTTCCTTCTCCAGCTGCTTTCGTTCGTCGTCGAGCTCGGCAATGATGCGCGCCCTCAGCTCGTCCTCCGTCTCGCGATTCGGAACATTCCGCCTGTTGTCGAACTCCTCCTCGTCGTCCGACGTCTCGGTTCCGGTCGAGACCATATTCGTCTGGACCGACTTGGAGTACGTCTCCGGTTTCGCCGCCTTGGACGGCATGTCCCACATCTCCGTGTAGGTATCGACATACTCGACCTGGACGGCGACTGATGTTGTCGGCGGAGCGCTTTCCCTGGGCGGTCAGCTACCAATGAAGGGGAGTTAGCTCACTCAGGACCAATCGTCATGGATATGGGACGCGACCCCAGGCCGCCCTCAGAGGGGCGCGCCCCACTTCGTGACGGTGTGCTGGGCACAGACGCTGGCGGCGTGCCGGCATTGCTCTGGAGGGCGGATAAGGAGGCGCGTGACGGTGCACCTGGAGTGTATGGCGACCCGGGTCTGTTAGACGCGAGGAGCTGGTCGACGAGATCGTTAACCTCTGCTTTGCGGGTCGTCAATCCGAGCGCTGGTGACTGCGGACTATCAGCACAGTGTATCTTCCCTGGCACCGGCTAGGGGAGGGTGAGGGTCGTCTGATATCCCAGCGGCGACAACACTTACGTCGGACGGTCCAGCTTCAGCCTGCGCAAGGAGCTTCTGACGCTCGGCACGCGCACGCCGCAGCTCGGCCAGACGGGCCTTCTTCTCCTCGATCTCTTGCTTGCGCCGTTCGCCCATGGCCGGTGGTCGTTGTTGTCGTGACACGACGCTGGACACCGATCGCGTCCAACAGGTCGACGCGTGCGGAAGGCACGTGGCGGAAGTGGAGGTTTCAGCGCATTAGTTTCGACCTTTCCCCAAAGTCTAATGGGAGGCTAATGAGTTTAGGAATTAGCGCGCCACAGTGGAGTGTTCGCGGGCTACTGCGAGCCGATCTGTGCCTGGGAGGTACGGGAGGTGGTGCAGTGACACGCCGCAGCGTGAGAAGTGATGCAGTGGCTTGCACAGACGGGGCGCTCGGATAGACGTCTGATAGTGGGGAGCATGAGGCAGAGAGAGCAGAGAGAGCAGAGAGAACGCCGCACTGGTGGTTGGTGGTCGGCTTTGCATCGCCGACCGGCCTCGGGCTCTCGGGCTGAGTCAGGCCAACTAGCCGAGGTCTGCGTTCATTCGCGGTGGCTGCTCTGGGACAGCGATATCCCCTCAGTCGTGTAGAGCTACGGTGAGAGAGACGGGAGCGGGGGAAAGAGCGGGGCCATGCATCTATTTCGAAGAGGGAGGCAGTCACCAGACCGCGGCGATGGCGTCCACGTTGCTCGCTGCGGGCAAGGTGGGTAGAGGAGAGTGTATGGTGAGAGTTCGAGTTGAGGGTGACAACATTCTCTGCCGCTGATAGGTGAGTCAGTGACGCAATTTCGGAAATCCGCCCGCAACCCCGAACACCCCAGCCAACCCTTATATACCTCGAGCTTCCCACCTCCTCTCCCTTCTTCTCAACAGCTTGTGCCATCTGTCCACCACCAAAACAGCTATCCACAATGGTCCTCGTCCGTGCTCTCCCCCGTGTTGCCGTCCAGCAGACCCGCGCCTTCGCCGCCGTCCGCGCTAAGCACACCCTTCCTCCTCTCCCCTACGCCTACGATGTGAGTCACCGCGATCCGGCGTTGTTGTTTACAGGAGCTGACCATCGCTTCTTTTTATCAAACTCTTCTGCTCTGACCGCTTCTTCTGCACTCTGAACATACTCTGGTCCGCTACTTGACGCTCCTTGATGCTTGAACATACAGGCGCTCGAGCCCTCGATCTCGAAGCAGATCATGACTCTCCACCATGACAAGCACCACCAGGCCTACGTTACCGGCCTCAACGCTGCCGAGGAGAACCTCCAGAAGGCTCAGGCCCAGGACGACGTTCCCGCCCAGATCAACCTCCAGCCTGCCCTCAAGTTCAACGGCGGTGGCCACATGTAAGCTTACCTTTTCCGTGGTTGAGCTGACATCCAGTAACCACTCGGTCAGTATCATCTTGCTTGCGCGGCGCCGTCATGAGTCATGGGAGCATCACGACTTTGCCGAGTTGCCCCTGATAAAAGTGACAGCCGCGGCGCCGAAATCGATCAAACCTTAGAGCCGCGGAGTGACTAACCTTGCAGCTCTTCTGGAAGAACCTCGCCCCCACCGGCTCGAAGGAGACCAGCCCCCCCACCTCTGGCGCCTTCGCCGACCAGATCAAGAAGGACTTCGGCTCCGTCGACGAGCTCATCAACCAGATGAACGCCAAGACTGCCGCCATCCAGGGCTCCGGCTGGGGCTGGCTCGGCTACGACCCCAAGGCCCAGCGTCTCCAGATCATCACCACTGCCAACCAGGACCCCCTCCTGACCCACGCCCCCATCATCGGCATTGACATCTGGGAGCACGCGTGAGTACCCCGAAGCTGTCTCTTTTCCGTCAACTTAGCTGACTCTCAGCTTCTACCTCGACTACCAGAACGTCAAGGCCGACTACCTCAAGAACATCTGGAAGGTCATCAACTGGGCCGAGGCCGAGAGCCGCTTCGGTGCCGCCTCGGCCTAAGCCGTGGCTCATCTGTAGTCCAGCTGAAGAAGTAAATGCAACAGTTGCGAAGTAACGAGAAGGCCGGCGGGCAGCTAGCGGCGAGCGGTGAGCGGGTGCGAACTGGCTCATCAAGGAATGCTGAGGACCATTCCGGACCGGCAGGCGATCACGGCGTACTTCATTTCAGGAGCTCATCGACGGAAAGTTCGAGCTGACCGCAGCGCGCAGCTTGCATAACCCGTGATCGACAGAAGCTACGGCTTCCTCGATTCCTGGCTGATCATGTCCTACTGATGTGCACAGCTGACGCGTGCTGACTGGACTTGCCTTAGGGAGGGGCACAACACACACAATGACGTCGCGACGCTCTCCCGCGGATCAAAAGGATGAGCGCAAGGGGCGACGACGGAAACTGCGTACTGCGAGCCTGACTGTGCGGAGCAAAGTGACGCGCCAAGGGTCAAAGACACGGGGGAGGGCGGAGGATGTGTGTTCGGAGCGAGACTGCGAGGGGGCGAGGGCGCAAGACGCCAGACGGATGGATGAGGACATGCAACGCCCAGGAGAACACACATAAGAACGGCTCAATGCTCACATCGTTTTCTTCTCCCCGTACTCATCTCCATTCACTCATTCACACAATCACTCCCCACGGTTTAGCGTTACGACGCCGCTCGCTGTCTCCTGACTCGTCTCGGAGACAATATCACGACCCTCACAGCGCTCACGACGCCTAAGCTGTCCCGCCGACAGAAGCACCAGCGTCAACGAAGGAGGCTCTCGCCCGCTCCGCCGTCGCCTGGCCCTCTGCCGAGACCTTGTATCGATACACTCGTCCAGCTCCAGAAGCGACTCAACATGCCGTCAAACGTGACTTGGAGTGCGGCTCATGACGTGGGTGCTCCTCCCTCTGCTCTTCCCTCTGCTCCTCCCTCTGCTCCTCCCTCTGCTCCTTCCTCACGCGCCAACCAAGTCAGCCCCCCTGTCCATCCTCTACCACCCCTCGACCTCCCATTGATCACCCTCTGACCAGCTGTGTACCGGAAATCGTAGCTGACCCCCAGACGGCCCTCCTGACCTCCCTCGTCTCCCTCATCCTCTCAAACCGGCGCGAAGTGTACCGCGCCCCGGGCCTGTCCGACGTGGCCAACAACGGCGGCTCGCGCATCAACCAGCGTCTCTTGCTCATGCTGCGCAAGATGTGCACTGATTTCGGGGAGAGGGGGCTCGTCGATGAGCTCGTACGTGCGCAGCAGGCCCAGAAGCCCGGTGGGGGGCGGAAGCGCAAGTCTGACACGGCGGAGGAGGATGAGCGGAAGGTTAAAATTGAGAAAGTCGAGAAACAGAAGGGCGGCAAGGAAGAGAAAGACGAGAAAGGTGGCGTGGGTGGGATGGGGGAGAGAGAGAAGACCAAGAAGGAGATGAGGGATGAGATCCTCCGCGGTGACCACGAGATCATGCCCAAGTTCCAGTACTAGTACAACATGTTCATATGTATCTATGCTCTACAACTCTACTCGGCGTAGTCCTCGTCAGAGGCAACTGAAGCCGCACGCGATGCCGCCTTCGAGCTTGCCCGCGATGATGCGGCTCTACTTCCGCCACGTCCTCGACCCCTGCCGCGCTTAGCAGGAGCACGCTTGCGCTTCTTCGGCTGCACCTCCTCCAGCGGCTCCTCATCCGCGTCAGCGTCCTTAACAGCTGTCGCGGAGCCGGATGCCTTGCGTTTCCCAGCTACCGGCGCAGGCTCGACCGCCTTCATCATCTCGCCCCAATCCTCGGGCTCCTGCCCGCGCGCCTTGGCCTCTGCCTCGCGGAACTCTTTGATAACATTCAGCAGACGCTTGCTAACGTTGACCTGCCGGCGACGGGGGGCGTAGTGCCCCACTCCGGCTGTAGCGTCGAAGAACGGCAGAAGCGTCTTCTGCTTCGCGAGCCCGCCCTTGCCGCGCTGCGCGATGCGCTGCACGATCGGCGTCAGCTCGTCGTCCACCTTTGAGATCGACCAGGAGAGCTCTTCGTGCAGGAATCTGCAATTAGCTAATGTGAAGCGAAACTGCAGCTGGTACTCACGTCCGCAGAGCCTGGAGCCGAGGGAAGCCCCAGTGGAATGGCTCATCGCTCTCATCCGTAGTTGGGTACAAGTACGCCTCGCGCACTTGCGGGTTCGGCCAGTCGGAGAGCAAGAAGATCGAACCAGAAAACCGCTTCTTCTGGAAAGAGTTAGCCTGCAAGCGGAAAAAGAACTCACAAAGTTGCGCTTCCACTTGGTGTCCGCCTCGACATCCAGGTCTTGTCCGCGCTGCACGCGCGTCCACCACTCCTTGAACCTGAGCAGTCCATCAGGGCCAGGGAAGTTCGCGAGCAGCTCCAATGCCAGTACGGGGCCGATGCCGGGAAGGCCGATCGTGTAGTCCGAACCGAGGAGGTACGACAAAGAGATGAGTCTCTCACGCGTGAGGGATAGCTCGCGCTCGACGTCCGTTGCGAGGATGCACTCGGCAAACTTGTTGTCGTTGAAGATGTTCTTGAAGCACTGCGTGCCGCCGAACAGGAACACGTCCGAGTCATCGGTGATGATGCCATCCACGAGCCCGAGTTCCGCGAGCTTAGCGCACTGCGCCTCTGCCTCCATCGGCGCCGTGATGTAAGGGATACCGAAGTGACGCAGTAGGGTTTGGATCTGCACGACCATTGCCTGCGTGATCTCGTCCGAGTCGCGCATGGCGGCCTTTGTTTGCGTGTTCAGTACCCGGATCTCCTCATCGATTTCGGTGCGGACATCGGTCAGGTCGCGCCCCTTGATCTGGGCAAGGAAACGGGCGTAGTCGTCCTCCTCGTCCACCATGTCGACGGGAGCCATCTCACCGTTGTCACCAGCTTCCGAAGGTGCTTGGCTATGATGACTCTCGATGGACTGCATCGACGTGTCGCCTTCTCCATCCTCACCGGCTAGTGCCAATTTGCGGCGGACCGGAGACGGCGAACGAGACCATTCGATGGCTTCCTCGTCCTCTGACTCATCGTGCAATGTTTCCACTAAGGGTGGCTCACGCTCCACAGCAGTCTCAGCAGCGGCGGCGAAGTCGAACTCTGGGGTACTCTCACGAGGAGGGGATGGGGAAGGCGCGCCTCTGTCGTTGGCGGGGATCGGGAGCTCCGCTTCCACCGGGGCAGGAGAGGGTGAGGGCGCTCGTCTGCTTGGGAGCACCTGCACTCGGTCAGGCGACGACTCCGTCACCGGTGAGGGCGTTCGCTCACGAGCCGGCGAAACGCTGTCGCGATCTTCGCCCTCAGCCTCTGGCGTATCTTCACGGACAGAAGCAGGGGTTGGCTCTTTGCCAAGTTGAACTGCAACCTCCTCGAAGTCGTCCTCACTCTCTGAAGCCTCTTCAGGCGATTGGGGAGGCGGAGGCGGTTTGGACGCGGCAACAAGCTGTGCTGCTGAAACCCTAGCTGGCCGTCGAGGAGGCGATCTAGCGCGGGGCGGTTCAGGTCTTGATGCGGTTACGAGTGAAGCCGCGGATCTCCTCGGAGCTGGCGCGGGTGCAGCGGTTTGAGGACGGGAAGCGGGGACAAGTTGAGCCGCAGACTTCGGCGGCTCATTGGTCCTAGCTGAAGCAGCCCGGGCAACGTTGCTGATGAGATCGCCGGGCTTGCGGCTCGATGGCGCCGTAGTGTTCAGAGCGGCGTTGCCTTGGATGCTTTCCTGAACAAGGTTGTTGAGCTTGCCTGCGTCATTGAGCTGGGCGACCTTCGGCGCCTGCACTGGGGCGCTCGCGGTCACTTCGACCTCGTCGTCATCGCTGTCGACAGCAATCGGCTGAGGAGGCTCGGGAGTTGGGCCAGAGCTGGGTGTGACCTCGACTTCCTCAAACTCGTCGCTGTCACTGTCACTGATCTCGGTCACCACGGCGGGCGGTGTCTTGGCCTTCTGTATTCTACTCAGTGCCAGAGCTCGAGCCAGAGCGGGATCTGGGGTCTCCTCATCAGAGCCGAGCTCCTCTTGCTGCAGCGCAAGTGCTAGGGCCTCGTCGTTCGCTGTGACATCGACTTTTGGCTCAGGAGCATCCTCAGCCTCGAACTCGATGTCGTCCGCCACGTCGAACAACGGGGCAGCGCCTGGCTCACGAGCTTTCCCAAACGAGGCGACCTTTTCCTCCTTCTTCGGCGGGGGCGCGTAACGACGAGCAATTGCTTCCAGCATCTCCTGCCTCCTGTGTCTGCGGAGGTCGTCGTCCGGAGGAGGACGATACCTGCTAGGTCAGATGGTACCTCCCAACGGGGTACCTACTCTTGAACCTCCTCGATGCCACTGTCCGAGTCGTCATCGCTGCTCTCTCGCTTGATGGGCTGCTTCCGCCCAGGCCGCTCCGGTGTTTCCGGCTCAAGAACGATTGGCTTCTCCTTGGTGCCTTCCCTAATGCCGAGCGCCCAGCCACCGCCCTCGTCCTCGTTCTTCTTGACCAGAACGTACTCTCGGTTGCGTTCAGCCGCAATCTTGACCGGAATTGTCAAGTGCGCCTTGCTCACCATGTCTGTCACGGTGAGGAGCTGCTGTGTGAGAGCATTGCGCTGTGACAGATGCTTGATCTGCGCTTTGGAGAAATCTAGGGCAGTTGGGGCGGCGCGAAGCATTTCCGTGAGACGCTTGTGACTCTGCTGCCTAGACTTGACACGCAGATCGCCGATGATCTCGTACTGCACTTCGGTGGGCAGGGCTCGGAACTCCTCCGATTCCACGTCGAAGTCTTCTGGGCGCATCTCGTCGATAAACTGCTTCAACTCCTCCTCGGTAGCGAGACGAGCGTCTGGTCGCTCTTCAGTCGAAGTTGTTGGCATGTCTGCCTCGGGGAGATAGTATCTGTCGTAGTTCTTGAACCGCTTCCGCCGTTGTTCAGGGGTTTCATCGGCTGGGTTCACAGGCCCAGTCTTCGAGGAAGATGCAGCGTTTTCAGTGCGAGCTGGAGGCGGCGGTCGTCCCTCCAGCTGGTCCAGATACACTGCGTTCTCTGGAATCGTCTCTCCGCCCCTTGCTTCGTATTGATCGGCTGCGATTCGCGATGCTCGAGCTGCTTCCGCTCTGCGCGTCAGTTCCACGACGACCCAACAACTCACTCTTGGGCAACTCTCACGGCCTCGCGACGCATCTGCGCTGCAAGGAGCTTTTCTGCCATCTTTGCATGGTTGAAGGCTGCACCAACCTTTCGGCGCTTGCGCTCAGCCTGGGATGTTAGCTGCGGGCCACTTCCATGCCAGCCAGACATACAATCGTACTTCGCTTCAAAGCTGGTGCGCCGCCGTCGAACACGAAGACTGGCTTGATGCCGTGGAATAATAGCTTGTTTATTCGCCGTAGAAAGCCTGCGGATTAGCTTCATTGTCATGAAACCCAATGGGCGTACCCAGGACATGCGCGTTGACAAGCACGCGACCTTCCTTGTCGCGCATCGTCGATTGGAACTGTCATTAGCTACAACGGCTGGACACCTGGAAACTGCCTGAACCCCCCGACAAGAACAAGAGGTCCAGAGATACAGCTAGCTTCCTCTCTCGTTGCTACTTACCTGGTACAACCAAATGGAGCTGTCGATTGCGAGGCGTTTGCCCTCCAAGCTCTCGATCTGAACCGGTCGCCCAACTGGGTTCAGCAGTGACCACAGTCCCTTAACACCCATGGCGGCGGTGGAGTGTTATGGAGTTCGCGGTCGTTGAGCTAAGCGAGACTAAGACTGACTTGTCTAGTCCTGTGCTGTCGTCGTCGTTGAAAGCTGAATGGAGTTGACCAGTGGATACGATCGCGACAATTTCAGACCTTCCTCCACTCGGCGGTCAGGCAGCGATGACCGCATCGATCCAGTCAACCGGGTCAACACGTGATGTTGCCACTGACATTTTGGCTCCGTTGTGCCGTTGTGTGGTTGGGCGGTGGACTTTAGCTGGGTGCGACGGTTGGCAGATCTTGTGCCTCCAGCCAGCAGGGGCGGTGGGAGTGTTGAGAAGGCCCCCTGACGTAGCACCCTAATCGATGGGCTAATGCGGATTAGGCAGGCCGCACTGGGGTGGTGGGGAGTGTGCTGCTTGTGTGTTATTGGCGGAGGGGCTTAGGATTACAACTGGAAACGCTGAACACTTGCCAGGGTCAGGAGCAGGGAGTCAGGGTCCCGGCAGGCGATCCGCTGATCTAGACTTGAGAATTCCGCTCGCTTGCCTTCAAGCTCTGGTCACCGCTCACAGCCGCACACCCGCCTGAAGAGACGCTCCTGCAGCCATGCTCCAGCGCTCCAGCGCTCCAAGCTGGGGGCCTGGCTGTCACCTGCGTAAGAGTCCCAGCCAGAGCTCGCGGCTCAGGAAATCCAGAGCCGTACCTTGCTCTCATGCTCATGGCTCCAGCTCCAGCCCAGGCGCCATCCGCAGACACCGACCCGCATGACAACTGATGACACCTCTCGGCCTGATTTCTTTCTCATTCTCTTCCTGCATTCTACTCACGACACAATTCATCCTCCCTCCCTTCTCTTATCTTTTTCCTGTCATCTCATCTTAATCGGATCCACCCATCGACAGCCTCATCGCCTGTGCTGCCTCTCCTCTGACCGCTGTTCCCTCCTTCCCCTGCCTGCGACAAGCACACACACGGCTCGTCGATCGCTCAGGCCCCCGTCCTTTTCGTCGCCTGTTCCGCGCTCCGCCCCCGGCATCCCTTGTGCGCGTATCACTGGCTAGTCCAATTCACGCCCCGCCGGTTTGTCGCCTGTCGGCTCCCATCGTCATCGTCTCGAACGTCCGCGCAGATCATCCGCTTCACGATCCTCCGATCATCGATTCATCATGTCGCTCTCGTCGTCTCAGGTGACGCTACATAGGCCAGGCACGCTCGAGGACTTCAACTTCACGCTGCTCTTTGGGACATGGTTTGTCATGTGGACTACGTTCCCCATGTGGCGGGTGAGTCTGTCCCC